AAAAATTGTTGAGATGGAGTCTGGCATTGCAAGATTTTGATTTTGAAGTTCAGCATATTCCTGAAAGACTGAATGTTGTGGCAGATGGTCCTTCCAGAATGTATTGTGAAGATCAAGATGTAACTGACCGTTGAAACACTGTCAATGTTTCACTGTTCCAGTATAATCAGAGTAACTACTGTTTTGGTATTTACTAACATGACTGTTTTCTATTTTTCAGATAGCAGAAGTGCTTAACCAAAAGAATGTATTGATTTGCTGCTATTAGAATGTTTTCTACCTCAATGCTTTGCTAGTTTAAGTGCAATTTTGAATGTATTTATGTTAATCATTAGCATTTACACTATGTAACCAATTAATTACTTTTGGTTACTGTAATTAGTTTGCCAAAAATTAGAACAGAATCACTGTTCTGGATTTTTGGGACTCCTGGTGGTAGCATGTCATGGTTTAGGTTACTGAAGCTAGAATGTAATTTCTAAATGGGATTTGTAGTCATAGAATGGTGTAGAAGGAATCCATCTTGGTCTGTGTCATTTTACTAGAAGCATCGAGAAGCTGTTTTCTCTTGCAGCTAGTTAGGAATGCTATCATATAGGTAGTGTGGCCGAGACCGAAGACGAAGAGCTGAGCCATAACATCCGAGGAGGAATGTCAACAACACCTGCGATCTCATGAGAAAAGGAGGTGGAGAGAGACGAGCAATCCTTCGCCCCGATTGGTGTACATCAGTGAAGAGTGAAGAAGGAGGGTGTTCCAGCATGAGAAGAAAATGGGGGAATGCTGACACAGAGAGAGACTTTTTGAGCTTTATGGATTTTTGGGACTTTACCTTGGATTATAGATTTTTGAATGGACTTTGGAGTTCCCATTGATTTGCTAGGATGTAGTTCATAGTAGGAGAATAGAAAGGGAGGCTCAGCCTTACGTATTTTATTATTTTTAGTTAATAGTTTTCTTATTTTATTTTTGGTAGCTGGGATTTGCTAGATTTCTAACTACCTTAGTTAATGGAAATGTTTTTGAATGCTATGCTTTGCAACAAACTTAATTTATCTAAATCTTTATTTTTCTAATAAAACAATAATACTTAAAACTTATGCTTGGTCTCTTGAACAAATAGCCTGCTACCATACTTAATTGGTTTTTCTTGAAGGCCACGAATTACGCTACTGTGAGTCTAGTATTTTCCTGAGTTTTGAGAGTTCTGAATTACTCTAAGACTCATGATTTTAACTTTGTTTCTCAGTGATTTTTAAGTGGGAATAGACTTGGTAGAAGGGTGCCAATTAGACAGCCTGGTTGAGACATGGACTCATCTCAACTTAAATAGGAGTCAACTGGAGTTGGAACCTCTCTATTCCAGCCTCAGCATTCTCTTAGGAGAGTTGAGAGCTTACAAAGGGCGAGCATCAAGAGTGATTAATCTCCTTAAACCCTCAGACAAGGATATCAGAAAGGGATGTGGGGAAAACAACAAAGTGAATTTATTTGCAGATGATACTTTATTATTAATTAAAAACCCAACTAAATCTATAGAGAGAATCCAAAAACATTTAAAACTATTTGAGAAAATAACAGGATTAAAGGTAAAATGGAATATGTCAGAATGTATACTACTAAACCATGAGAAGCAGGAGACAGTGAAGAAAAATATTTCTGAGGGAAAGTTGAAAAATAATATTAAATATTTAGAATTAGAGATCACTTGGAACTTAGAAGATATGACCAAAAGGAATATGGATTAGATGAGAAGAGAGATTAGTGAACAGATAAAGGAATGTCAAAACTTAAAAAATTCCTGGTTTGGCAGAATAGAGTTATATAAAATGAAAATTATTCCTAAACTAATTTTTTAACTCAGGATACTACTAATAAGGGTTGAAGAAGAACAGTTAAAAGAATGGCAGACAAGGATTAACATGTATTGCAATGGTGATAACAGAGCTAAAATAAGAATTTATGATATGTATTACAAAAAGAAGGAGGTTTGGGTTTACCCATTATTAAAATATATTATATAGCAAATCTTCTGAAATGTATTCCATATATAATAGCAAATAATAAAAATTCAATTTGGAGAGAGTTAGAAGGAACTCTAATAGAAGGAATAGAGGGAATGATGGAGAATATTTTTAAAAGAGATCAAGGAAGAGATGAAAAATATAGATAATCCCTTAAAAACATATTAGAATACAGTGGTGCCTCGCATAGCGAGGTTAATCCGTTCCGGATTAACCTTCGCTATGCTGAAGCATCGCTGAACGGGGCAGCAATTTCCATTGGAACGCATTAAACATCGTTTAATGCGTTCCAAATAGGGCAAATACTCACCGTTCAGCGAAGCTTCTTCATGGCCAGCAGCCATTTTCGCGCCCTCGCCTCGCTTAACGAGGGCGCGAAAACACTGCACGTGGCCATTTTAGGCAATTTCCCGGCTTCCGGCGGCCCTTTTGGCCGCCCTAGATAATCCCTTAAAAACATATTAGAATATTGGAAAAATTACAGATGAGTGTTAAGTCCACCAACTTCACCTCTGTAACAAGTTGTAGAAATAAACCAATTATCAGATAATCTTAAAGGGAAGTTAAAAACAATTTTACCAGGTAAGGCTGCTATGAGGATAGAAGAATGGATAAAACAAATGCAAGATAGGAAATGGATAAAAGAGGTGCTGGAAGATGAGATTTCATGTAACCACATACAGTACTTCAGCTAGAAAATTGGATGAAAGAATGGGAAATGAAACAAGGGACAGGGCAGAACAAATTTGAGGAGATAATAGAAAAATGAGAAAATAGATACAAGGGAAAATAGAAAAGGAACAGTAAGTGCAATATATAAAATGTTAATACAGGGAGCATATTTTAAAAGTGTGTTAAAACATCTATGGCAGGAAGGGAAAGAATAAGGAAATTAAAAAGGAAGAGTGGAGTAATATTTGAAATAAAAGCACAATGAAAAGGATGAAAGAAAACTATTAAAAGGTGGGTATATAACACTGGTAAAGTTGAATATAATAAATAAAAGTACACTTTCACTATGTTGGAGATATAAAAAAGAAAAGGAGATGTGTACATATATCTGGTGGCTTTTTGAAATAAGGAAAAAAGAATGCACAATGATTTAAGGGGATAAGAGAAATAATTGGTGTGGAGGTACAAAGGTCTCCAATAAATTGCTTTGTTCAACGTCCTTAATAACGACCAATTGAAGAGAGAAGAAAAGGAATTATTTATTACAATGGTGATGGTGGCAAGGCTAATACAGTGGTGCCTCGCTTAGCGATGTTAATTTGTTCCTAAAAAATCGCTGCTAAACGAAAACATTGCTAAGTGAAATAAAAAAGCCCATAGAAACGCATTAAAACCCAATTAATGCGTTCCTATGGGCTTAAAACTCACCATTGAGCGAAGATCCTCCATAGCGCCGCCATTTCTGGTGCCTCTTAAGCAAGGAATTCGTTTCACGGGCGAGCGATTGGGTGAACCCTGTGGCACCTGGGCTTTCCGAAGCTCCTGCGGAGCCACCCCAAAAAGCTCGACTTCGTGCTTTTTCAAGGGCCATGGCGAGGCTCCATTTTTGCTCCACCACACCAGAGCCGGCCTTGCCTCGCTGCCCGCCTCCCCACCCCCGGCGACCTCTTGGGCAGGGGAGGCTGGAAAAGGAGTGGCCGCCCAAATGAGCCGGCGGGTGGGTGGGCAGGGAGCTGGAGCCGAGCGGGCAGCAAAGGCAGTTGGTTGGTGCTCGGCCGTGCCTCCTCCTCTGGCAGGAAGAGGCTGCGCCACGATGGCAGTGCCCACTTTGGGAGAGAGCCCGGGACTGGAGCCGCCACCGCCGCCTCCCCCCTCAGCGGGCTTGATGCAAGTGGCCGCAGCGGGTGAGAGGAAGAGAAGCGAGCCGACTGAGCGGGCAGGACAGAGGGAATGAGGGGGGCCGCCGCCTCACTGATTCACGCACACAGGGCGGCGGGGAGACGAGTTGGGCTTCCCTTGTGGGGACTGGCTGCGCCACGATGGCGGCGCCCACTTTGGGAGAGAGCCCGGGGCTGGAGGCGCTGCCGCCTCCCCCCTCAGCAGGTGGCCATTTTGAAACCGCCGATCAGCTGTTAAAAAAGGGTCGCTTTGCCATGATTGCTTCCCCGCAATCATCGCAAAGCGAAAAAAACCCATAGGGACCATCGCAAAGTGATCGCAAAAAATGCGTTGCTAAGCAATTTCGGCGCTAAACGGAGCAATCACTACGCGAGGCACCACTGTATTTGCAAAACACTGGAAAAGCAATAATCAAATTAGTATGGAGGATCACTATAGAGAAATGTGAAATATGGCAATTAATGATAAATTATGGTTGTTGTAGGGTTTTTTGGGCTGTTTGGCTGTGTTCTGAAAGTTTCAAATGATAAATTAACTTGTGAAATTAAAATCAGACGAGGAATGATGTGAAAACATCACTAAACAGAACGTAAAAACCCATTGGAACGCATTAAACATCGTTTAATGTGTTCCAATGGGCCCTAAACTTACAGTTCAGCGAAGTTTCCTCCATAGCAGCAGCCATTTTCGCGCCCTCGGTACCGAGGGGAGGGCGGGAAAACGCTGCGTCCGGCCATTTCAGGGCTTCCGGTGGCCATTTTGGAACCACCTAACAGCTGATCCGCGGGCATCGCAAAGCGAAGATCGGTAAGCGAAATGCTTACCAATCGTCGCTATGCGAGTTTTGCCCATTGCGACCGTCGGTATGCCTCCGCATTAGCGATCCCAAAAAAGGGATTGCTATGCGGATTCGTCGTTATACGATGCGCTCGTTAAGCGAGGCACCACTGTATTACTGGAGAAAAATGGGGCGATTTGAAATATAAGACTAAAGAACATGGAACTACTGTAGTCCCAAGTGAGGAGGTGGATCTCACAGAGTAAAGAAGAGAAGTTGTGTTATGTTATGAGTGTATATATGGTAGTGTTCTGTAAAATTGTAGTTTTTGTATGTGTTTATTTTCTGTTCAATAAAATTATTTTTTAAAAACTAAAGTATATCAGAAAGATGCACAAGGCAGAAAATATGACACTGTTCTCTGAAATTCCCTATGGTCTATTCACATACCTGACTTTGGTGTGGTGTAAGCCCACCCATGGGTAAGGCACCACTTCCTCCATAACTTGGATTGTTGTTCATCCCCAATGTAGCAAATGACTGAGGCATCGTCGTAGATGTGCTCTAAAATACAGGAAGAGGAACAAGCATTAGCTGTGATAAACCTGCACATATGAAATTTTAAAATGTCGGGATTGAGGGAGGACAAGAAACAAGCAATGGTAAGATTCTAGAAGAGACTCTTAAATGGTGTGCCACAAATTAGAACCAAGCTGGTTGTACAAATGCAAACATTCTGCTTGTTAAAATGTTCTACACTTTTAATTTTCTCCACAAACGAATGCTTCAAATCATGTGCTCTATCGCAGAGGTCCCCAGTCCCTGGTCCGTGGCCGGGTGCCGGTCCGTGGCCTGAGCCGGACCAGGCAGTGGAGACAGACTTCCCGCCCCACCTCCGCACAGCTGATTTGCGCATGCGCGCACACTCCATCGTGCTCATGCGAGTGTCATCATGCCGCTGTTTGTGCATGCTCATGAGTGCATGCTTGTGTGAGAGAGCATGTGCGCGTGTTTGCACATGCACACGGGCGCAGGGGGTGCCCCGCCTTCCCCGGCTGGTCTGCAGGATGAAAACAGTTGGGGACCCCTGCTCTATGGGAAATGTTATGTTTGACATGTACCATGTTTCCTTTTCTGAGGATCATGTGGGCGTTGACAACTTCCAGCAAATGCGTAGTGAACTCATTCATATCCTCCAGAGGCATGATCTTGAATGCAACCAGGCTCTTCTTGTTCTGTCAGAAAAGAAACAGAATATGTTGGAACAATGACAAACTTTAAAAAGTGGTACCAAACATTTACATTAATTGAAGGAAGAAAGTATACTTTTAAAATATAAATATGCCCTCTGCTAATTTCACAACCCTTTCAAAAACATGGCTAATAATTTTTTACTAAGCATGTACACCACAACCTATCTCCCACAGCCTTCTTTTGAAACTGAAGAAATCAAAACTGTTGAATGCTGTTGTCCCACGCTCTTAAGGAATTCTTAAGCTCCTACTGCACTCAATATTCCATTACATAAACATCTAAAAGAATTATAATAAATTTGACATGTGCCTTTTAAAAGAGGTCGTGTTCCATCCCCAAAACTTTTGTATCTTTATTAAATATGCCTTCTCCCTATCTGGCGTTTTTATCTACAACCTTAGGATCATCTTTTAGAAATGTGTTACTACTATTAAGCTAGCTGACAACATGAAACATCTGGTTATTAAATCCAGTCATTATTACCAAATTTTGCAATTTACAGTTTGAATTTATTTCAGACATATTCTGCAAGCTGAAAACTGTAAGTCTGAATTACACGAACCCTACTATCAACTCTGGGTTTTTCAGGTGTCTTGAGTGTACATTATTTCATCCTGAAGAAACTGGTTTGCTTCTCAATATGCACTGAGTTCCTCTTACTGCTGTTTCCTTGAGTCTCCCTCACCTATCTGCCTAGGGCAGCGGTCCCCAACCTTTTTGGGACCGCAGACCGGCTGAGCCCCTGAGAAAGGCAGCTCCTCCCCCCCGCAGGTGCGTGCATGCTCTCGGGCACATGCGCGAAGAGGTGGGGGAGTACCCGCCTGCCCGCGCCGGCATGAGCGCTCCCCCACCCCTTCACGCATGTGCAGGGGTGCCTGCATGCCCACCCACCCATCCCTTCACGTGGGCGCTCGGACACTCAGGCACATGCACAAAGCGGTGGGGGAATGTCCACTCGCCCATCAGCGCTGGCGTGAGCACTCCCCTACCCCTTTGCGCAAGTGCGGGGTGCCTGCACGGCCGCCCACTCACCCCTTCACATAGGAGCTCAGGCACTTGCGTGAAGGGGTGGGGGAGCGTGCTGATGGGCATGCAGGTGCCCCTGCGTATGTGTGAAGGGATGGGGAAGCGCTCATACCAGCACTGGCATGCATGCAAAGCAGTTGTGGGGAGGGGAGTGTGTGTGTAGGGAGATCTGTCTTCACTTCCCGGACCGCAGACTGGGGGTTGATGACCTCTGGCCTAGGGTACTCTTCACTATTACTTTAACTGATTTCTTTTACGTTATATCTTTATTGTACTCTTTTTGTATATACTTTTGGAGATGGTATACAATGTTCACTAATCTCCTGGTAGGAAGTATTCAGTGCAGAGATCAGAAGCATGTTACTGAATTTATGATATCTCCACCAATGTGATGGAGCCTAGTTCTTGAAGTAAATATCAAAATGATGAATAAAATAGGAAGATTATATTAGTCCTTGGAAGCATATCTTCCATCTCATAGAAACTAGACATAGTATCCACTAATAAACAGGATACTCTTAGCAGAAAAGGATCACATCTGAAACTTAAACCATAAGAACTTCTTTCACAAAAGCACAAATCTACCTACCATCCTTCCTTTGAAAATGGTACTAGATGAAAAATATTATGATTGTGGAATCATACAGAGTTAGGATAATACAAAGGAAGGTTAGCATAATACAGGAGGAGGACATTAGTAATGGAATATGCCATCTTCAGCTAAAGTGTTGAATTAAATAAGTTTAACTTTCAAACTTGAAATTTCATGACTTACCTGGAAAGACCGCAAATGACCAGCCACTTTCACATATGTCCCTGGGGGCACCACAACATTCTCACTGCTCTCCTCCTTTAAAAAAAAGGGAGTGGGAATATGACAATGGTTTCTTGTTCTTTACCTATGTTAAGCCTTTGCACTGCTAAAACTATTTGAGACCAATTTTACCTGAAAGTGTTTTAGGAGTCATTGACCAGAATTCTATAGCTGATCAATGTGCAAAGTATCTGGCAGCAGTGCATTAATGAGCAGCAATCTTCCACTAGGACTGCAGAATCCCCCTTATGGAAGTATTAAATGGTAGTAGAATTTTGGACATTACATGTGCAATTTGGACAAAACAGAACAATTACTTCTCATTTCCATCCAAATGCACCATAATGGAATATCTGGCAGTGTTTTGAGTAACTTTGTACCCATGACTCCTATCTTTTTCAATTCTTTCCCTGTAATGAGTGCAAGTGGAAAGGCACAACACTGTCAAAGCACAAACGTTCAGAATAGCCAAAGGGTAAAATAAAACTAAAAATCTGCACCAATTGAAGAAGAGTTTCAACAGCACCTGTCACGTTCCTGCCTGTCCCTTGGTTGTTTCACCAAAGAAAGGCACAAGCGACATGTCGTTCAGCTGCCAACAGTTGATTACATCAACGTTATTAAATATTAAAGACAGAAGCCCAGTCAATGTGTCATTTAAAAACCAAGCAGAAATTGTTTGTTACAAGAAATAAAAGTTCACTCAGTATCATTAGTTCTCAACTAAAACACCATTCCTTTCTATTCTCTATCGCCTTCCCAAACTCTCTCTCGACTCCAAACTCCCAAACTTCAAAACTAAACTGCCTTTCTTCTTTTTCTCCTCCACCAACTCCCACTGGTGCATGCAAATCCCAACATGAATATTAATAAGCAGGGTGAACGCTACAGCATCTTATCAGTAATTCAAATCAAACAATTTATACAATTTTACATACTGTTTTCTATTACTTTTATTAGGGGAAGAAACAAATTACACCCCAATGCTTTTAACCACTAAGAGTCCTGTCTCAAATTTTGAGATTCTATCAGATGATTGTCCACAAATGTTCAGATTTATCTTTACTGTCTTAAGAACTTCAAAATCACAGAATTTCTTCTGGGCTGAATTTCAGGTCTAAAACCAAACTTTAAGGATATACTGTACAACTGCAAAATTTACACAGTCCTTTTGAAACTGTCTGTCAAAACAAGTAACTCTTGTTTAAATCTTGTCAATGGGCAAAATCCTGCTGCATAACATAAGCCATATGTGATGGAAACCCTGACCAATCCGCCTGATAACAGGGAAGCAAGGTGACTGGCTGGGGGATGCATGTGGGCAGCCTATCCTAGAGCCTGAAGGAGGAGGGGGCTGGAATATGAGAAGGATAGTGTAACTGAAGAAAAAGGGGTCGTTGTTGTTGCGTTGTTGTAACTGAAGAAGATCTGAAGCTCAGATCCCAAGTAGATGTTACTATGTAATAAAAATATATTATTTTCATTCTTTAACTAGAGATGGGGGTATTCATAACAAGAGGCTGGCCCACTCATGCATTCGGCAGTGGCGGAAGCCTCACTCATCCTTCCAATCACTCCTGGAGCTCCGCTCTCTTCCTGCTCAGCTAGCAACTCGGCAGCCATGCAGGGAGACTTGACCTCCCTCCCACTGCCTGGAGTTGCCAGGTGAGCAGGAAGAGAGCAGAGCTATGGGAGCAATTAGATGAATGAGGCTGCCGCCGGATGTGTGAGTGGACGGGCCGGCCGCTGGGGCCTGCCCCTCATTATGTCCAGCTGCATGGTGATATTCGTATACCACCATCTCTATCTTTAACCACTGAGTCTTTTGTGGTTAATGGCTGGTGTCAAAACACGTTAATGGAAAGTTATTTTAAAAAGTGACACGTCTGGGTTGGGGCTGGCCACACCACATCATAAACTTTGGTGCATTCTCCCCTGGTAAACAAAGAATCCAACAACAATTCTTGGGGTGAATTTGTGTACGTACCAAGGCAGCATGTACATGCACTTCTGAGAATCATGGCAGAACACTTTGCTTACCAGGGAGGAATGGATGGAAAATTGCAATTTGACTTACACTAAAACAGTGTCAGGGTTTCAATGCAAAAAGCATGAAAAGGCCAAAAGCAATCTTCTCCAAGATGTTCCTTTTAGCAATCAAAATTCTTTCTGAAAATGGAAAGTGTTATGTGTAACAAGAGGATTTTGACCAATATCACTTTGATGGCTCAAGTTCTTAATGTCTTAAAAATTCAAACTACAGTGGTGCCCCGTATAACGAGCGATTCGTTTAACGACGAATCCGCATAGCGATGAGGTTTTTGTGATCGCAAAAGCGATCGCATAACAATGTTTTAAATGGGCAAACATCGCTTTGCGATGACCGATAAGCGTTTCACTTACCAATTTTCGCTTAACAATGTTTTAAAAACAGCTGATCGGCGGTTCCAAAATGGCCGCCGCGTAAAAAAATGGCCGCTCGCAGCGTTTTTGCACCCTTTCCTCGCTTACCAGGCAGAGAAAATGGCGGCCAGATGGAGGATTTTTGCTTAAAGGTAAGTTTTTTCCCCATAGGAACACATTAAACGTGTTTCAATGTGTTCCTATGGGGTTTCTGCCCCGCATAGCGATGAATCCGTATAGCGACAATTTTTTTGGAACGGATTATCGTCGCTATGCGGGGCACCACTGTATAAGGGAAACTGAGAAACCAAACTGTAACACAAGTACAGAAATTCCAAAGATCCTCAAGAGTAAAATAAATGTGCTGCCTTAGGCTGAAGAACACAATTTGCAGCCATACAAAGAATGGGCATACAATGCTAGCTATGCCTTTCTAACGCAAAGAACTGTACCCTTGATAATTTCCAGTTCAAAAGAAACTTCAAGCTTAATACATTCCATTACTTCAAGCTTCATACATCTCACATTCCATCAAGTTCAACTGGAATCCCACTTTTCAAACATGGAAAAAAATTAAGTAAAAGTAATTTACACAATGTCTTTAATTTGTATAATCCCTTCTATTTTATTTATTCATTCCATTTGGATCCCACTTGCTCTCAAATAAATTCACAGAATATATGTGATTCCCTTTCCACTATTTTAGCCTCACAACTTACCCTCTCAGGTATATTAGGGCTAATGTCACCGAGTGAGATTCACAGTTGGACCTGTTCTCCCCAACTCTACTCCTACAGGTTGATCATTACACCACACTAGCATTTTTCGTTTACATCAAATCACAAATAATACATACATCTGTGTCAACCCACTGTCTCACATCCATTGGGGCTGCGGTCATATCATCCACTTTGTACAGAATGTTTGTTGGTGCTTTTTCTGCTTGCCGGATTATGCCCACGATAATGACCTGCACAGTGAAATAAATACAAGATAATTTTACTGAGACATTTTCTCATTACACATCAGATCATGTTGGAAACAAGGCAGGATAATTAATAATTAGAATTGTAAGGGCCAAAATTTCAGCTACAAGTTGATTTACTTTGAATAGATAATAGTTTGTCATAAATAGAAGAGGATGTGTCTTAGAAATCAAATAATTAAGCAGTACCATGGCGAAACAACCCATATGGTTCTAGCAATCCAGAGACCACCCCAAAACTAATCAGGATACAGCAGAGGTAGTAACCTATTTACCTGTGAAAGTTCAACTTCTTGGACCTTGAAAGCATCATCCACCTGTTCAGCAGAAAGTAACTGGGACACTGTACATGGCACAATATTCTGTGATCTTGACCTCTGCGAAGAACAAAAATCCTTAACATGTTTGAGAATTTGTTCTTCCATATCAAAGAATGACATTGCTGGGATCAAGAAAGACATTTCGCTTCAATTTGGAAAACTGAATAAGCAATTTTCCAAATAATAAGCAAAACACAAAGAATTCTAAGCAAAGCAATAAGCAAAACAGAAAGAATTCTAAGAAGAATAAGAGTTGTGAAACTATTCTAACAAAGTCCCATTACTGCAATATTATGCACATCACTTCAACAGACATGTAAATTGAGTCTATAAAGAATTTCTGAAACCCCAGTCAAGCAATAATTTAAAATTATGCCATGCTTGTTTCCAAGTGAACAAGGCTGGAAATGAAAATGAAACAAAGATAGAATGAAAAATCAAACCCCTATGGCGTAAAGAGGTAGGCTTCTCAAGCAGATCTTTGGACTTATCCCCCTTTCAAAGAATCCAACGCAACTATCCATGCCACTACCTCTAAACTGAAATTGGAAATGACTGGGAAGTCCCTTTCTGGTTTAAAACAAATTAATGAAAATAAAGCATGTGAGGTACAGTATGTACGCCTTCTTTAAATGTGAATTGTGGTTCCTAGAAGCAAGAGCCATTAGCCTTGCTACTGTGGGGAATATTTTTGCACAGGGGATGGGTCTGCCTTCTCCCATGGCTATGTGGCAGCATGTTACGGCAATCTAGAGCCTGGGATTTTTCCAGTTGACCCTTTTTTTATACTATTAAAACCATTATGCCACCAATATGAATATGTTACTTATTTAACAAACTAGGCTTACATATCATACTGTGTATAACAGTACCGCTGTGCCATTCTGTATTAAGAAAGTACTGTATATGTCACATTCCTGCCAGAAGAGACAGATCTCAAAACGTAGAACTGTTGCCAAAATAAAAATGAGAAAAACCATGTGCTTAGCAGCAGTCATACAGTGGTTTTCTCTGGTATTTTGCTCGACTAGTCACTCATCCGATTTCACCACCATGCACATGGTTGTGCAAACATAAATGTTGTGCAACTACATTTTTGCAACTGTATAAGCAAATAGGATGCTAGCCCATGTATTAGTAACTTGTACATCATCTTATAAAATTACTCTTTCAGGGGGAACAACTTTTTCAGAAGATAACCCTTTTCCAACCCAAAGAAGAGCATGAGGCCTTTCTTTTTCAAGTAAGCTACATACCAGTTTCTTTTCACCTTGGGTTGCAGAGGGCGATGCAAACCCTCCAGGTGACTGTGAATATCCACCACCACCACCACCATAAGCACTGTCAAAGCCACCTAGAAATAAAATTGAAGTAAATATTGTAAAGGAAAAGACTAGCAATGCTGTTTTCAGACTTTTAGTCTCTGGACTTTTAAACAACTGGAGCAACAGCTACATTAAAAATGGTATTATATTTATTTCAGAAGCCATTCACTATAGCTGCCCACAAAAAAAGTGAGAGAGTCAGAAATTAAAACTAGGATCCTGCAATATGCTTCAGTGTGGAATGCCTGGCTCTTTCTCTCCATCTTTGCTTCCAGCCCTCCTCACATCAGCGTTCTATGCCTATTGAACATGTCATTTTCCTTCCTTTGGGTACGTTTCAGTGGACACACCAGTGCCCAGTCCAGGCTACGTTGAAAATTTTTATTTCTCACTTCTGTCCCTGGAGAATTTGAAAACAGACTATTTGATTGAATAAGGTGATTCTTTCCACCCTTTTAATACATAGGGATCTCACCCTTTCTTTTCATCCACTCTACAGTATTCTATTTTCCATCATGTTAGCTTTTGTTTCTCCCTCACATGGTATTCTACACCTTTCAGTTATAACACTGTCTGGGACTGCTTCCCCGCCACCCTCTAAATATTTCTGAGGTATCTGTAAGCTTCAAGTTATCCCAAGTACCCTTGTACCTCTTTCTTGTGTGTGGCTGATGCTGTCTGCACTTCCCAAGTCCACAAGCATGGGAAGATTTTACTGCTATTACAGTACAAGATTATTATATTATTTAGTAAAATTATTACAGAAAATCGACAATGCCCATACATTTATAGGCTAATGAGCAAGAACAGAGGATAAGAAAAGAGAAGGAAACTAGGGCCCCAACAAAAATATCAGAGTGCTTACTTTGAAAGTTTCAACTACAGGGAAACCTAACTACTGTACAACTAAATCTTAACTTCCGAACAGTAGCAGAAGGACAGAGAGCGAGGTGGCAAGTGACTGGACGTCATGGAGATGGATGGTTCACTCAAGGCGCCCCCTTGGGAGTGTTTTGTTTTAAGTCATCATTCCCACAAGTGGTTCTGAACCTTGGGTAACCGAGGGCTTCTGGGACTGCAGTTCCCAGAAGCCCTGGCCAGCACAGCTACCGATGAAGGCTTCTGGGAGTTGCAGTTCAAAGAACGTCAGGGTTACCCAAGGATCAGAACCACTGCTACCGAACACTTGGCGCCAGCACAGAGGGAGGTACTCTGAGGGAGCAGCTGGCCTGACACAATCCCTAATGCTGCGACTAAGACGTGCTTCAACTTTTGGCAGGAGGATAAGTGCCTGAGGGGGCTGAGGCGACAGACTCTCCCGGAATGACTCTTAACCCCCACCCCGGCCCTCATTTCAGCGGTGGCCCCTGCGGGACTGCAACTCCCATCAGTCTTGTGACGGGAGTTGTAGTCCACCATCAGGAAAGTTGTCCTCACATTCTTCCCTTTGTTTTATCTCCAGTGGCTCATTTACTCGTCCTTTCTTTCTTTCACAATTCCTCTCTCTCCGAGACCCCCTCAGGAAACTTCTGGCAGCCTTTGGGGATAGAAAATGGCCATAAACAGACATGCCCGCTCGCTCTCACCGTGACCGCCCCACATGCCGTCAAAATAAATGGGCGCGCGAAATCAATGAAGGACAACCAAACCCGTGTCGAAAAAGGAACTGGGGGAGGCCCAGAGCCTTCACACGTTCTTCGGCTCCTTGAAAACACCCGGTTCTCGCTCGTTCCTCTTCCGTCGGTCCTGTCCTGTCACGTGCGCATAACAGGCTCGCGGGATAGGCCAGCCGCACGCGCCCTCGCCCCGCCCTCGAGCGCAGACCACCAATCGGCTAATAGCCATTGGAGAAAGGGGGCGGGTACCTTATTTTGCGCGCGAGTCCTGAAAGCATAGAGCGCGAAAAAACGGCTAGAGAGGCACGCTCAAGGTGCTGAACACCATAAAATCTCAGCATGACTACAGTACAGTATCTAGGAAGAAAGGAACTGAGGTGGAGAGACATTATAGTTGCATAGATTATAGTTTTGGTAGTTACTGACTAATGGAGCAATTGAATGATTCGATAAAGGAACGCACAGCCTTGAATTTGTTACAGCTGAGCAGGGCTGTTAATGACAGGACATTTTGGAAGTCACTTTTTTTTTTTGTAGGATTACCAAAAGCCAGAGGTAACTTGATGCGGGTGCCAACACCAACAATGTAATACGTATGTTGAAGCCATTCATAAATCAGCTGTGCTAGGATGATGGTGTGAGGGTACTGTCCTACCATTGCTCAGTGGAATGCTCACACTTTTGTCTGTTGTGTTCAGTCCTCCTAAAAGTTTTGGTTCCTGGGTGATCAGCCTCACTTAATTTAGTGGGATTGTGTGTGACTTAGCTGTGACACTCCACAAAAGAATACACAGTGAAGTTGAAAATGCAAAGATTTCTTCCTGCGCATTGACAGAGGATTTTGCATTTTATATTGTCTGCAGACCTGTGTTGTGTAAGTCTTTAAATTATCCAGAACTGGGTGTTGTTCAATGCAGTCATGGACAGACCATTTGATGCATTAAGTGCTTTAATGCTTTCATTTGTTTTTGTGACAAGAGATTGTTTGTGTAACCCATGTATTCCCAGAATTAACAGCAACCAGTTGATATATATAGCAAGACCATGAGAAAGATGTACTGTGGGTGGTTTACTTCCGTTTAAAATAAACACAAGGAACAAAGAAATGATGAAAGGGACTAGTGGAGGCACAAATATGTAGGTAAGAATGTGTGATCATTTCAATTGCAAATACTGTGGCTTAGTGATGATAACATATAGGGACTAAGTGGATAGTTCAAAACCTTCCTGGGGAAAAATGTGTAAGGCATGATTCTGTAACTGGCAAAGATAGACGTTACTAAATTTGTGACCCAGCCAGCCAAATACAGCTCACTAGCCATGTGATCACCCACTGATTATTTATTTATTTTAATTTTTTATTTAGACTTTTATCCCACTCATTTCATTACATGCCACTACCCTGGGCAGCTTACATAAAAAGAAACAAACATAAAAATGTCAACTCCCCCCCCATCAATCATCTCACTAAAAAACAAAGAAAAAACCGAATGCTCAATGGCAATATCAGTCAGAAAACAAAATAAAAGATAACAACGTAATAGTCTGTCATGTGGCAAGGATATCTCTGAAAGCTTCTCTGATAAGATGGGTTTTAATTGATTTTCTGAATGCTAGGAGGAATTAGTGTTCGATAATCTTGTTTTCCTGCCTTCTTGAGAATTCAAAGACATGGAGATGAGATTGTCAGTTGCTAGACTGGCCACAGTATGTATTGGGTTAACAGAATGTGAACCGTCAGATTAGAAATTAAGGAAAGTGACAAATTTGTACTGTTTTGTTACTGCTGTTAGGTATCTTGTTTCTTGGTACAGTACAGTGTTAAGGGAAAAGTACAGATCAGTATGCTGTATCTCTTGCAGACTGTTTTCTGTGTACAACAGGAAATGTATCATGAACTTTTGACTTTGCCTAATTCTCTGGTTTCAGTACAGCAGTATCATGAATGTAAAATGTATCATGAACTTTTGACTTTGCCTAGTTCTCTAGTTTCAGTACAGCAGTATCACGAATGTAGAAGTAAAGAGTAGCTGTGTGGTCCAAACAAAATAAAATCCAAATGCAAAAATAGGCAATATCTTTATAGACCACTGAAAAATCATTATACAGTAAATGAGCTTTCATGGATTGAAACACCACTTCATCAGGTTTGTACCAATGTGAAGAACTTCCAAGTCCAAAACGTAAAGTTTTAACATACATGGCAAGATGGATTTTGCCAGAAAAGTTGCTCTTAAGTGTTAAGTCCAGCAATTCTTGGCAAGATGGGTTTCACCAGGCTTGTGTCTTTGTCTGCATTACTGATTAATCCCACGTTATGCATAGGAGCTTTTTTGCAGCAAGTTGTCATGTGTATTTTACAGAAATATGACATTTGTCTCTAGACATCTCCTCACCCAACCCACTACAACAGGGGTCTGTTTTTCTGCACTTGGCTGACAGGGCAGAGGAATTTGGGATATGTAGTAGATCAGAGTTCCTTCAACCTCGAGCAGCATCAAATTTAGGGTAAGCAATTGCCTATGGAGCACCTTTCACTAATCTCTAGAGAGATCTATACACTCAGTGCCTTTTGTGGAGGTGCACGATGTTTGGACCTTGGACTACAAGACCTAGCAATACATTCCCACAATGTGGATGAGTTGATGGCTCTGGAAATTGAACTCAGCAAGTTAAAATGTTGGTGAATGCTCCAACACTGGAGGCATTCAAGAAAAACTTAGATAATCACCTGGCAGATATGCTTTGATTGTATTCCTGCATTGAGCAGGGGGTTGGACTTGATGGCCTTGTAGGCCCCTTCCAACTTCACTTTTCTATGATTCTATGAAAAAGGATTACACACTGAAGAGCCCTTCTCTAGGACCTCTTCCCCAGGATAGTGCTGGCTGGAAGTTGGCTGAGATATGTGATTTGTAGTCAACAATTCACCAACTCTGTCAATTATTTCTCAGATATTAGTATCATGCATTTTTGGATCTATCCTCTGACTCTTATAGCACTTGCTCTCAGTAGTGGCTGTAACTGCACCTTTAACCTATTTCAATTTTTTTTTTAAATCTGAAATACTTTCCATAAAAAAAAAAAACACTTCCTTACCATAATGCATACACCTCTTCATCCATGATAAATACATAGATGATAAATAAATATGGAGTAGTATGGTTACTTCTGTAAGTCAAGGGTCCACTGTAACTGCACCTTTAACCTATTTTAATTTTTTTAAAAAATCTGAAATACTTTCCATCAAAAAAACAACACTTCCTTACCATAATGCATACACCTCTTCATCCATGATAAATACATAGATGATAAATAAATATGGAGTAGTGTGGTTACTTTCATTTCCCTGTATTACAGAAAGTTATACTGTGTTTCCCCAAAAATATGACAGGGTCTTATATTAATTTTTGCTCCATTAAAAGCAGTAGGGCTTATTTTCAGGGGATTTTTTTTCATGTACAACAATCTATGTTGTTTTCAGTTACAGCCATGTCATCTTCTGGTAGCAGCACAGTGGTGGAGGGCAGGCTTAACAAGGGCTTATTTTGGGGGTAGGGCTTATATTATGAGCGTCCTGAAAAATCATACTAAGGCTTATTTTAAGGTTAGGTCTTATTTTCAGGGAAACGGTAGAATTACGGAAAAGAAAATATATTAAAGAAATGTAAATGTAAATGTCTTCACCCCTATGAATATCTCCTTAAAGATATGTTACAAATAGGGCATGAGGGGAAAAAGCACACCTGCCTTGAAGGCAAATATCTATGCCAAATGAACTTCCATGAATAACTTAGCCTAACTTCAGGCAGTATTGAAGACAGTGATCAGAAGTGTCGCATAAGGTAATAAGCCAGGAATCAATGGGAAGCCAGGCTTATCAGTTAGAGCAGTGTGCTGGTGTGTCTTGTCAGATTTATTCCACTTGCAGCAGCTAAATAAACAACCAAGCTGCTGCCAGAGTAACCCTAGTACTCTAAAAACATTAGATTTCTCTTTACTGTAGTGTTGTTTTGTTCCAGATTGATCTTTGGCCCAGAACTTGAACTTCTGCTCTCCTACATGAAATCTGTCCTTGGTAATATTCATATCAGAAGGAAGAAGCATATCAGCTCTCTCTTGCAAAGTCAGCAAAACATTGATTTCAGCCGCTAATGCCCCTGTGTGGTTGTTGTTGTTGTTCTTTAGGTGCTTTGGTGCTAGTTGGCTCCTTTGCTCCTAGCAGACTCCTTTCTTTGAAAGTCTTTGGGACTGACATGCCCTTTAGAAAAGTAGCACAAACCTGCTTACAAACAGATGGAAGTTTAGATGCCAAATGGGATTGCTTCATCAGCTGATGAGTCAGAGATCTGGGAGAAGCAAGCATAAGGTGGGATCGGCCAACTTTTCACACAAGCAGACCTGTATGAGGCAAAGGGATCACAGTCCATAAAGCTTCTCGACTAGGATGGATCTGCAGAGTTTCCTGCTCCTTCTGATACAGTGCAGAACTTTAACAGCTGCAAAAGGTAACTTAACTGTCTACCTGTGGGATAACTTAGTTTCTTAGAAGAACAGAGTTGTTTTGGGGTTTGAAGCAAGCAAGTACAGTGCATCACAACTGGACCTTCTCTTCGAACCACCATAGCCACTGTTCATAATAACTGTGAGATTCAAGCCGTTGTAGTCCAAACTTCTGACCTCAAACGTCTGACCACTCCTTTTCCTCAAGTGAGTTGTTTGCCTTTTGCAGGGTACTTTTGGCACATTACAGACCTGCACCTGGATCCCCAGTACTCCGCGGTGCCAGACCCCTTGAAGGTATGCCCATCTGCTGGCATCCAGCCAGTGACCAATGCCGGGGCTTGGGGTAATTATCTGTGTGATGCTCCCTGGATTCTTGTAAACTCTTCTATTTATGCCATGAAGGAGATCCTCCCTGTTCCTGACTTCATTCTCTGGACAGGGTAAGAGGTTTGTCTATTATGACTATGTAAAACAAGCATGAGTGCTTCTTTCTATCAAATAGCCACCAGTGCATGATTCCTGTTCACAGGTAAATGCATGAAATTGCATGTATGTGAGTGGGTTAGCTAGTGGAAGAAAGGTAGAGATTCATGCTAATTTGAGCAGAAGGAGATCCCCTTCCTCTGCAACCAACAAAGAAATGAATTGATCAGGAACAGGAGAAATTATTGACAACAATGTTGTTCATCTGTCAGTCTTATTTCTAGAAGGACCTCCCCCACCCCCAGCCTAGTAAAGGTTAGAAGCCCATATTTCCTTGCTTTGGCTTTTGGTTTCCTTTGCCAAAAGACAGCTGTATTTGCCTTATGACAACTAGGCCCTTGAACTCCATTCCCAAGATAATCGTCAAGACCTGAATGCCACATTTTTAAATGTTTTCTACATCTATAGGTTTCCCAGGACCTAAAAACAAAAGCCAGCAGCAGGACATGCTGGCTACCTAGGTGGGATTCCCCTCTGTTCCTGCCACTGTAGAAAAACAAGCTATTAGTTTCTTAGCAGTAGCTAAAGCCTCGTCCATCATGTACTTGTTAGCCTAATCTCTCCCACAGCTGATCTACCTATCTTATAGTTTCTAATTTCTGTACATGTTCAACTTTAGACTTGGCCTTTGTCCGTTAATAGTTACATCTTTAACCCATGGACTCAGTTGGATGCATTTCTGCTGTTTTTCAGAGATGACACGCCTCATGTGCCTGATGAGAAACTGGGTGAACAGGCTGTGTTGCAGATAATTAAAAACCTCACCAACCTGATCAGACATGTCTTTCCAGGTAACAAGGTGCCTAAATTGTTGGGTGGTGATCAAAAAGGCAGAACCTGATGCAGTGAGTTTTAAACTTCAGGTAGATTGTCTGAAGTTGCACTTTGGGATGAAATTGTAATGAGTGCTTCAGCTCTGGAGCATGGTTATAGAATATACTTCCTTTAAGATTGTCAAGAGCAGGTTCCAGGATGTATCAGCAAAGCTTTGTATACGTTGCTTATTTATTAAAAAATCTGTATGTATCATCGACTCATAGAAAAGTGAAGTTGGGAGGGGCCTACTAGGCCATCAGGTCCAACCCCTCGCTCAACGCAGGAATATAAATTCATCGACTCATAGAAAAGTGAAGTTGGGACGGGCCTACTAGGCCATCAGGTCCAACCCCCCGCTCCACACAGGAATATAAATAAAGCATATCTGCCAGGTGATTATCTACGTTTTTCTTGAATGTCTCCAGTGTTGGAGCACTCACCAACGCCTGAGGTAACTAGTTCCACTGTCTGGTCTAATAGTTAGGAAGTTTTTCCTGATATTCAACCAAAATCTGGCTTCCTTTAACTTGAACCTATAGTTGCATGTCTTGCACTCTGGGATGATTGAGAACAGATCTTGCCCCTCCTCTGTATGACAGCCTTTTCGATATTTGAAAAGTGCTATCATATCACCCCTGACCCTTCTTTTCTCAAGGCTAAACATGCCCAATTCTTTCAGCCTTTCCTCATAAGGGTTGGTTTCCAGCCCCCTGATCAACTTTGTCACCCTCCTCTGAACTTGCTTGTAATTTTGCTGGGCCAGGTATCCCCCATCTTGTAACTCTGCAATTGGTTTTTTTTTCCCCTGAGGTGCAATACTTTGCACTTATCCCTGTTGGATTTCATTATGTTGCTTTCGGCCCAGTGCTCCATCCTATAAAGGTCATTTTGAATTTTGTTTCTGTCTTCTAGGGCAGTGGTCCCCATCCTTGGGCCTCCAGATGTTCTTGAACTACAACTCCAAGAAGTCTTCACCACCTCGTCTACTGGCCACGTTTTCTGGGAGTTGAAGTCCAAGAACATCTGGATGCCCAAGGTTGGGGACCACTGTTCTAGGGCATTAGCTATTCCACCCAATTTGGTATCATCTGCAAATCTGACAAGCATTCCCTACACTCCCTCATCCAAGTCATTTTTAAATATATGGAAGAGTACTGGGCCCAGGACTGAGTCCTGGGGTGTCCCACTTGTGACCTCCTCCCAGTTAGAGAATGACCCATTAATCATCACCCTCTGAGTACGATTCTCTAGTCCATTGTGTATCCACCTGACACTTGATCTGTCCAGCCCACACTAGTTAGCTTGCTAATCAGGAGATCATGGGGCACTTGGTCAAAAGCTTTACTGAACTCAAGATATACCACGTCTACAGCATTCCCTCTGTCTGTCAGGGAGGTTATCTGATCCAAAAACGAGATCAAATTAGTTTGGCAGGATTTGTTCTTGACAATCCGTGTTGGCTTCTAGTTATTACTGCATTGTTTTCTAGGTGCTTGCACAATGACTGCTTTACGATCTGTTCAGTCACTTCCTGAAATAAGTGAAGCAAGGTGAAGGGTGTATTGTTTTGTCTTTTGCTGAGTCAACAAAGTGTTGTAGGGTGGTTCTAATTCAGACATGATAGTGAAGAGGTTAATTTAAACTCTGCTATACACAACTGCATTTGATACCCTAGTGAATGAAATGCAGAACAAGCCTAATCATCGTTTGATATCTGAATCATCACCCTCTGAGTATGATTCTCTAGTCCACTGTGTATCCACCTGACACTTGATCTGTCCAGCCCACACTAGTTAGCTTGCTAATCAGGAGATCATGGGGCACTTGGTCAAAAGCTTTACTGAAGTCAGGATATACCACGTCTACAGCATTCCCTCTGTCTGTCAGGGAGGTTATCTGATCCAAAAACGAGATCAAATTAGTTTGGCAGGATTTGTTCTTGACAATCTGTGTTGGCTTCTAGTTATTACTGCATTGTTTTCTAGGTGCTTGCACAATGACTGCTTTACGATCTGTTCAGTCACTTCCTGAAATAAGTGAAGCAAGGTGAAGGGTGTATTGTTTTGTCTTTTGCTGAGTCAACAAAGTGTTGTAGGGTGGTTCTAATTCAGACATGATAGTGAAGAGGTTAATTTAAACTCTGCTATACACAACTGCATTTGATACCCTAGTGAATGAAATGCAGAACAAGCCTAATCATCGTTTGATATCTGGGTGCAGCCACTATAAAACTACTCACTGTGGATGATCCTAGCAGTATGCGTTGCAGAGCTGACACCTCTTTAAGAGGGGGTGAGGGAATTCCTCTCAGGAGTTTGGCATAGAGAAGTGTAGCAGGATGTCTGCTGGTATTGTCCGGCATGCATATTCTTTGCCCAAGCTTACCTATTTCTCTATTTTTCTTCATTGTCTTGTACCACACAATTTCAGCAAAGCAATAACTTAGCACTCCTCCTGTTTTGTTTTGTTGCCAAGAGGACTGCCACCATGGGTTCTTTTTAAGGAGAAAGGCAGGATAAAAATACTTTAAATAAATAAGATGCAGTTAATCAGTTATGCTGCTTCCTATGCTAAGTTCTGCAGCCAGCCTTAGCCTGTTCAGATACAAACCTTGTCTCTGCCTGCCCATCTTTCCACCATACTGTTTACTTTCTGCTTTCTTCCAGATACTCAGGTCTACTCAGCAATGGGCAACCATGACTTCCACCCCAAAAATCAACTGCCAGCTGAGGAACACCAGATCTATCGCACAACAGCAGAACTGTGGCGTCCTTGGCTCAGCGATCATTCAGTGGAGACCTTTAGAGCAGGTATGTACGAGAGACCAAGTTGGGGAACTTTGGATGATGCTTTCACAGAGATGTTGAAGAGAAATCTAGTGAGGCTGAACTGGCATTGCTTAGTCCAGTGTTGACTTTTCTGACTCTTTGTGTTCTTCTTTCAGTACACTCTGTCTGATCTTTTTGACAGGAGATGCCAAGAAAAGATTGAAACTCAGTGACAGAGTGCCTAGCAGAGATGTCCCAGTTGGAAAGCGGAAGACATTCTATTAGGCCACAAAAACAGGGCCTTCTGGGACTTGGCCCAGTCTTAATGGGATGTCTGGCTGTGGGATGTGCTTGTAGTGGCCTCCCTAGTAATTCTCAAAGAGACCTTAAAGATACGGATAGTCCTTGTTGCTTCTCAAGTCACCTCCAACTTATGGAAACCCTAGGAATGAGTGATCTCAAAAATGTCCTGTTCTCAACTGCCCTGCTCAGCTGTTGTAAATGCAAGCCTTTGGCTTCCTTTAAGGAAGTCAGTCCATTTCATATATGGTCTTAAACTCTGTTTAAATTACTATGTGCCCATTTTTATCTTGTAAATGAGCTTTTATTGCCATTGTTTAAATTTTTAAGTTTTTAAAAATCTTTTTATTATACTAGCATATCCTGCATCACATCACATAATCACATAAAACACATGATACATCGCAGCACATAAAAGAAAGAAGCAGTCAACCAACCAACATGAAAAACAACACTGAAATTAAAAAACCCCTCTGTCTCCTATCATCTTATTTGCCCAAAGAAATATAATTTAAGAACATCCTTCCGCCTTAACATACATTTGAGGCAAACAAATAACATCTATCAAGTTCTCCCAGGAAACACTCACATGTATTGACCCATATTAACTCAGCTTACTGTTCCAAGCAGCATTATGAGTGCTTAGAGGCCCTGAAGCTCTTCCTCATTGAATAAACATGATAAATGGCATCCACACTATGTCAAAGTCATTCAAGAGTTATTTGCTCTGTTAAGTTTTTGCACTAATTTTTCTGAGCATTCCATCCCCCAGATAAGTTTATAGAGCTGTTGAGAGCTAGATCTTTTGCATACTTCCAGCAACTGGCTATTCTTTGCCACACCGCTACCCACAGGAATGTAACCAAGTCTTTATGAAGCAGTTTTACAGTGACACCAACAAATCGATTTAGTATACAGTACTAAGGACAGATGAAGACATTTATTATCATTTTCATTATAGATCATTCAATTACATTGTGGGCAAGAGCCCAGGTTCAGCTAGTTTCATTTCGATTAACTGTTTTATAGTTTATTATTACAAAATGTTTATCCGAGCTTGGAAAAGTTAAGGTTTTTTGGACTAGGGTTCCCAGAATTCCCTGTCCAGCATGGCCATTGGCTGTGCTGGGTAGAGGATTCTTGAAACTGTAACTCAAAACACTGATTTTTGCCAAGCCAAGATCTTTACTTAACAAGCTATCTTGGAGGTGCTTTGCATCGATAAGAGGAATATGTTTTATAAACAACATAAATAAACTTTCTCGTCTTCTCTTTTACAGGCGCTTTTTACAGTCAGTTACTGTCTGGTCCTGGCCCAGCAAGACGAATGATTGTCTTGAACACAAACCTGTACTATGAAAATAACAATGAAACCATCAGCCTAGAGGATCCAGGAGGCCAGTTCCAGTGGTTGCAAGATACGCTGACCCATGCAGCAGATGCAGGAGAAAAGGTTATTTTCATTGTTTATGGAATACAGATATTGGGAGTAAAGATTAAGTCATTCAAATTACTCTTTAATATTTGAAAGGTAACTCATTACACCACTGAAAATGTAACTTGTTATATTATTTTTTTCGTTATTTTTTAAAAATGTTTTTGGGGAAAGGATAAGCTTCATATGAGAGTAGCTTAAAACTTGCATTCCTATTGTTACAGCTCTAAAATGACTCAAAATACCCTTAACATCTGAAAATAATTGGAAAACATGTTAACACTGTAAGGAACGTGTCTCCTTAAAGGTGCAATTCCACTAGGGGAAGGTGCCGACTCTAGTTCTCATTTTCCACCACCCTTTTTCTCCCTAGGTTGGGTGAGACCTAGAAGGTGTGTGACTGGGCAACTATGCGCAAGCTTCTAACTCTAGATTTCCAGTTCCTCCCTTATTTCGGATAAAATACTCTTGGCTGTGTACGTTAAGCCTTACACAGCAGCCTTACTAGGTAGGACACCCAAAGAACAAAAATAGCCAACATAGCCCTTGTGGCTGAGGCACTTTCTTTAGGCACTCAAACCCTTGTTTCCCCAAGAATCACACTTGGGTAGACTATAAAAGATATATTTTAAAAAGAGTAAAAAATTGTAAAACATAAGAAATACAAAAGAATTACAAATTGTATTGTTAAATGCCAATCTTCTAAGGATTAAGTTAGCTCCTGTAAGTCTTTCCCAAAAAAACAATAAAAACATTAAGTAACTAGAGTATAGTGATTTTACTACTGAATTACAATGCTATTCTAAGTCACCATTGCTAAGTCTCCTAATCAGTCAAGGAAGGCTGTAAAAACCTGTTACCACCTCCTCCAACTCACATACATCCCAAGGCCCCCTTCTATAACTTCAATCAAAGTCTCTGCTTCTTGATGGTATCCAAGCAGCATACAGTCTTTTGTTCGGAAGTCCATGCCCAACTTGCAACTTTCCAGAGTCCAGTCTCCTGTTCCTAGGCTGGTAGGCAATTAGGATGGAATTTAATGTTTATCAGTTTTGAGATATAGCCTTGTCTCTGTCAAGTCACAACAAGAGCTGGCTTCCAGGCTGAGATCTCAAACACCTGTGGAACTCTGAAAAATAAGTACTACACAACCCATATCCTCACAAAGACTAACATAGCTTTTTTCCCTACACATTATATTACTTTTGAAATGTAAATTCATTACATACTCATTACTCAAAAAGTAACTAGGTGGGGGCAACTCTGTTCTTTTAACTTGTTACTTCCGAACTTTAGCTAATTTTACTTCATTGAAAGCTGGACAACTGCTAAATGCCTTACCAGGCAGGGACCAGTGTCATTTTTCCGAAAAATGGTTTGAAAGTTCTAAAGTGGTTTGATAGAAGAAAAAGAGCAAATAGATAGTAGAATAAAGCAATTACCCTGTTGTTGGGCTGAGCAACCTATTAAATGTGAAAAATATGCCCCCTTACAGGGACTGAGTGAAGAATGGCATGTGCCTCGCAAACATCAAACCATTAAGCTACGTAATGATTTCAAGGCCATAGATTCAAAGCATTTATGCAGGACAGAATGTGTTAAGTAGGACTGCAACATTTAATGGAGGAATTAACTAGCTTAGTCAACTTTGTGGGTCTCCACTTGGCTAAAGTTATTCCTGATCAATCATGCACTCGCATACGGAGATATTCCTTTTGCATAAGCCTTTTTCACGTATTCAGTCTGAAAGTATGTGAGCTGCCTTAGGTCCTTTAAACTAAGGAGGAAAACGGGGTAAAAGTATTTTAAATAAAGAAAGAAAATGAATAAGTCTCAAAGAGAAGTGATGACACAGGGATCCAGGTGAGCCCTGCCTTCACGTCACCACTCCACCTGGAAGTCCTGCAGATATTTGCATGTTCAGCACTAAAGCTCTACATGTACACTATAAACAGATCATACAACAGTTTTCTGTGACTGGCTGTCCTGGTATAGAAGAGCTGCTTCTCAAAGAAGCACTAACTGTTCAGTTGAGTGCCCTGGCACTGCACATGGAAAGGTCTGCCGTACCTCCAAGGGAGTGGGTGTTGGGACTTTTAGGTGTGCCCCTTTTCCTACCACCTTTTGAGCCCTATATGCTTTCACACTGAGCAAGTTTAGACCGGGATTTCTAAAAACTGAATTTGGCAAGCATCATCTTTAAAAAATGCATCTGGATGTCTCTCTTAGAAATCTTGTTAGATAGTGCTTCCTCCAATACAGGTGTGCATAATCTAGGAACATTTGAAAATATATACCAATAGAGTCAATAGACTCACACATTCAGTTAAAATTAGTTTAATTGAGAGCTTCAATTCTACTTTTAAATCGTCCCATAAAAAGCAAATCACTATGGTTCCCATTGTATAATAGAAGAACTAAGGCTGAGAGTTTGTTAATTGACTTACAGCTGCTAGTGGATACGGATGAGTAAGAATGTACAGCAGAGTTCATTTCTTGGTACTCATATCTGTGGAATCTTAGTATGTTTTCTCTCTTTTCCCTTATTCTTTGTAGGTCTATATTATTGGGCATGTCCCTCCTGGCTTCTTTGAGAAGAAACGAGGGAAGATGTGGTTCCGAGAACACTTTAACCAAAGATACACAGAAATTATTCAGAAGTATCACAGTGTAATTGTGGCACAGTTCTTTGGTCATCATCACACAGATAGTTTTAGAATGTTCTACAGTAGCACAGGTACACTCCTTTTGATGTTACTGGTTTCAGAGAACCTGTGTAGGCTGCCAGGCTGTTTTGATTCTTGCCTTTGGTAGAATTCCTAGAGTGGCTTATAGCCTGTTAATAAAAAAGAGAGGGGGGGGGCAGAAATAATGGCATCTGTAAACCCCACAACAGATGTAGGTTTGATAGAGTCCTGAGGGGGAAAGACCTGTAGTGGGAGGCCATTTCTGCTAGCATAACACTTCTAGTTTACTTTGTGGTAGTGGATGGTAGCACTCTGTGCAATACTTTTTCCCCACAGTGGCCTGAAACAAAGATGGAGAGGCTTAAACCTCGGGCTGAATCTGACCATCCTGGTTTTGCATAAGGGAAAAGTCCCTTCTCCCACTTCCTAACACCACTGTTTGGTGACTTCCTAGTATTTGTATGAGATCTTTCTCCATTTTCAAATACCTTTCATAAAGCTTAGTTACTGGCAGTATGAGTTTTAAACTAAAATATGCTGGTATTTTTGACCCAACTATGTATCCCACCATTGGAAATCAGCCCCTGGAATCTTCTTTGGATTTGGATTCTGCTCTTAGCTAAAAGGATCCTCATATTTTCTTTGAAGAGTTGCTATAGCAGCAGCCTTATGGGAAAAACATATGGCAGCTAAACTCAAACTCCAAACAGTGCTTGGGTAGACCTATTGTGGGGGTCAGGGGCACTGAATCCTCCTCAGCAAACAGAAAGCCATTTGCCTGATCAGAGCAGAGATTGGAAAAGTTATTGGGGCGGTGGTTTTTACAGCTTCCAGAATCTTTGTGGCAGGCTTATGACTGTTGTGCTTAGCACAGAACTTCAATTCAGGACGCCGTTGATCAGTGGGAGGTGGCAGCCACTTATTGTGCCAAAAAGCCTCAAGGTAAGCGGCTTGTGTTTGTCTTCTTTCCACATGAAGGTCTTCATTTGACCTTTAATTTCAGGTACTCCTGTCAGTGTCATGTTTTTAGCTCCAGCTGTAACACCTTGGAAGACAACCTTACCAGGGGTGCATAATGGAGCCAACAACCCTGGCATCCGGGTATTTACCTATGATCCTGATACCTTGCTAGTGAAGGTAAGAGGAGAATTCTGGTTGCATAGATTGTTGCATGCCTCCGTAGATTGCTTGTAGGGCTGTGAAGGACAAGGCATTTTGGAGATCGCTCATTCATAGCGTTGCCCTGAGTCAGAGGCAACTTGATGATATTGTCTGAACAGAGTGCTGGGCTAAATAGGTTTTGGTCTGAATCAGCAGGTCTCTAACTAGGTGTTTCAGGGAGTCATGTTATCAGTGTCAAGGTCTGGCATAACAGCACAGTTATTCTAAGAAGCGTATTCTAGCCAGGAAATGAATCCTTCCGTAATTTGAGAAAGAGAGGATATTATGTTATATAGACAGCTCTGGTCTTTACATGCTGGTGGTGCTTCATAGAATGTACTGAACCTAGTGAAGTTCATTTTATTGCATTGTGCAGACCTCCTCTGTTCTTCCCTCATGATTTGATGTCTCTTCATCAAAATTAAATGGGCTGTAAGAGTGAATGCATGTACTGCCAACAGAAGACCCATCAGTTTACCCAGACATTTTCTAGAGTGTGCTTCTACTTGTTGCATATTAGTGACCTATGCTTTCTAATGAATCGTGTTCATTGTTGTTTATGTTCTTTTAAAATAGTGGTTTCTTTTTACTGGAAACCACTTTGGAATTTTTTTAAATGAACTGTGATGCAGAAATAAACAAGAAAATAAATAATTTATAATAACAGAACCCAGAATCCAATGAATCGAAATATTGGGAAGTTCAGGCAGGTAGAAGAAAGGTCTTTACACAGGGCATAATTATATGCAGAGTCTGCTGGCACACTGAGAAGTGATCAACAAGTTAGATGGCTTTCAAAAGAATCTAGGAACATTAATGGAAAATAAAGCTATCCAATGAGTACCGTATGCATCACAGGTAGCATGCCTGTGATCCCAGCCCCTAGGAAACAAGAAGCTGGCTGGATATCTCAGTGGTTTAGGTATCTGGCTGTGGAGCCAGAGGTTGGGAGTTCAATTCCCCACTGTGCCTCCTGGGAGAAGAGCTGGCCTATGTGGTCTTGGGCGGGCTGCATAGTCCCAGGATATTCCCAGAAGAAGGGAATGGTAAACTACAGGAAGTGAATGGTATTGGGCCTCATGTCCTGCTTGGGGCTTTCTATAGGTAACTGGTTTGCCACTGTGGGAGACTGAGTGGTGAACTAAGAAGGCCTTGTGATTCAGGAAGAATCTTTTGTTCAGTGAAAAGATCTGTAATTTATCAGCTAAACATTGCAGTCCAATTTAGTGTCCTGGCCAGATAGGTGTGACTAAGTTGGAAGACTGAAATAGGGATGTTTTATCATGTTTGGCTTTCTACTATCTGCTAAAATTTTCCATGCCTGTGGTCTTTTGTCCCTGAGAGGAAAATAGGTGTTCATGCCTATATTATTATTATTATTTATTGAAGGACAAGCAGTAATGAAGAGTAATTCATAGTGAGAGGAGGGTGAAATTAAAGGAGGAAAAGCCTGAATCCTGGCCTATGTCATTAATGGCTATAGGCAGAAGTGATGGTCTCCAGCAGCCTATCATATGTTGTGCTTTTATATTGGTTTTTAAATTCAGGAGGATATTTTGTCTGGAAAGCAGAGTCATATATTAAGTCATTCTGTTGGTCAAGATCAGGAGTGAGTATGGCCCTTTATGTATGTCACCTAAACAGCACTATCCAGGCCCCAGGTGGGAATGATCAGCAGGCTCAAGGGAACTTTAAGGTTTGCAAATGTGTACAATTTTTTTTAACAAGCTCCTCCTAAACATGGCCAAATGAGCTATGCTGAATGATTGCAGAGTGAAGGAATGTAAAAGTTGTGTGCATCATGTACTGTAATAGAACGTAATGGGTTGTCCTAGAAAAGGATACAATTGTCTGGAACCCTGAATAGGAGGACTCTGTCCTGCAACTTTTTATTGCTATTCTGACATTGATGTAAATAAAACCAAACACTTTGTTCCTACCACAACATTGCCACTGCTTCCTACAAATATATTCTGTTCTGTTCTAGGATATGGCTACTCATTACTTAAACCTCACCAATGCTAACATGGTAGCTCCTGAATGGAAGAAAGAGTATAGTCTCAAGGAAGCTTTCCAGATCCCAGACGGTTCTGTTCAGTCTATGCACCTGTTATTGGAGAAGCTCAAGAGAAGCCAAGACCACCTCCAGCGGTACTATCAGTATAACTCAGTTCAATATGACCAGACATACTGTGATGACAACTGCCAGACTGATCACCTCTGTGCCATCAGTGAAGTTGATTTTGTCAGATACAGCCAGTGCATTCAAGCCCAAAATGCAGCAGCATCTCCTTCTGCCTCTATGCTGGACGTTCTCTTATTTTACTCCATGACTAGATTTCTTACACTAGGCTTGTGGGGCTCCGTGAGCAGATTGGGGCATGAGCAAGACCTAGTGGTTTTTGTATGAGCATAGACAAATAAGAAAATGTGATAATTAGCCACAGACACCCCACCACCCACCACCCAGTCGGATGAATCTTAGGTTTCTTTGGTCTTTTCTTTTTTAATGCAACCTCCCCTTGAACAGCAACACAGGATATGATCAGAATCATGTAGTGTCACCCTTTTTTGAAGGTATGGGATATTAAATGGTATTCTGCCGCTGAAAGGTCATCAGTGCTCACAAATTTGTGTATCTTCTGATTATGCCTCAGTATTAAAAAAGACAGAGACTATTCTGTTTCAAGTTTTTCTGATGCTGTTTATTTTAATTAGTTTTTTAAAAAGACAGATTCTAATGAAAGCAGTGAGATTGAGGGGAAGTGGACCATTGGATCTTATCTTTCATAGAATCATGGAATTGGAAGGGGTGTATAAGGCCATCAAGTCAAACCCCCTGCTTAGTGCAGGAATATAAATCAAAGGATATCTGCCAAGTGGTTGTCTAAATTTCTCTTGAATCTCCAGTGTTAGAGCGCTCACCATCTCCTGAGGTAATTGGTTCCATTGTTGTAGTGCTCTAACGTTAGGAGATTTTTCCTGATATTCAGCCACAATCTGGCTTCCTGTTACTTGAGCCCATTGTTGCATGTTCCGCACTTTGAGATGATTGAGAACAGATCATTCTCCTCCTCTGTATGATAGCCTTTCAAGTATTTGAAAAGTACTATCATATCTCCCCTTAGTGTTCTTTTCCCAAGGATAAACATGCCCAATTCGATAACGTTAGGAGATTTTTCCTGATATTCAGCCACAATCTGGCTTCCTGTTACTTGAGCCCATTGTTGCATGTTCCGCACTTTGAGATGATTGAGAACAGATCATTCTCCTCCTCTGTATGATAGCCTTTCAAGTATTTGAAAAGTACTATCATATCTCCCCTTAGTGTTCTTTTCCCAAGGATAAACATGCCCAATTTGATCAGTCTTTTCTCAAAGGGCTTGGTTTTCATCCCCTGATCATCCTTGTTGCCCTTCTCTGAACTTGTTCCAATTTGCTGGCATCCTCTATGATTCTGTAGCCAACTGTGTATCCACCTGGCAGTGGAAACACACTTTGTTAACTTGCTAATCAGAATTTAATGGGATACTCTGTCAAAAGCTTTGCTAAAGTCAAGATATACGATATCTACCGCATTTCCTCTATCAGGGAGGTTACCCTATCAAAAACAAGACTAAAAGGATACCTGAAGGACCGCCTCCTTCCATATGAGCTGACCTGGCAGTTAAGGTCTAGCCAGGGGGCCCTTTTGAAAGAGCCGTCCCTTAAGGAGATAAGAGGGAGGGCTTGTAGAGAATGGGCCTTTTCGGCAGCTGCCCCCAGACTATGGAATGCCCTCCCGACTGAGATTCGTCTGCCGCCGACGCTGATGACATTTCGGCGCCAGGTCAAAACCTTCCTGTTCCAGAAGGCTTTTAATTGAAATAATATCAACTGTGGGTCCTGATGACAATTTTTAGAGTATATATTGTATTTTAATTGTTTTATCTTTTTTATTGTATTTTAATTGTTGTAAGTCAACCAGAGACCTTTGGATAGTGTGGGTGGCATATAAGTTAAATAATTAAATAAATGTGGCAGGATTTGTTCTTGACAAATCCATGTTCACTTCTAGTTATTACTGCATTGTTTCCTAGGTGTTTCATAGTGACTGCTTTATGATATGTTCCAGAATTTTCTCTGCGATTGACATCAGGCTGATTGGTCTGTAGTTCCCAGGTTCTGTCTTTTTGCCCTTTTGTTGATAGGGACAGCATTAGCCCTCCTCCAATCCTTTGGCACCTCACCCATCTTCCATGATTTCAAGAAAACTAGTTATTACTGCATTGTTTCCTAGGTGTTTCATAGTGACTGCTTTATGATATGTTCCAGAATTTTCTCTGCGATTGACATCAGGCTGATTGGTCTGTAGTTCCCAGGTTCTGTCTTTTTGCCCTTTTGTTGATAGGGACAGCATTAGCCCTCCTCCAATCCTTTGGCACCTCACCCATCTTCCATGATTTCAAGAAAATAATGGACAATGGTTCTGAGAGTTCTTCAGCCAGTTCCTTCAAGGTTCTTGGATGCAGTTCATCTAGCCTTGGAGATTTGAACTCATCCAGAGTGGTAAGGTATTCCTTGACTATTTGTTTGTCTATCTCCAGCTTCAATCCTGACCCCTCCACCTGCACTTCACATTTGACTGGAGGGCCTTAGTCTGTCCTTTGGGAAAAGACTGAGCTAAAATAGGAATTTAGCACTTCTGCCTTTTCTTTTTTCTTCTGTTATCATTTTTCAATTTCAATTGAATAAATGAGTCACTGTTTCTTTTCTTTGTCTTTTGCTACGCACATACCCGAAGAATGCTTTTTTGTTGCTTTTAGCATCTCTACCTAGCCTCAGCTCATTCTCAGCTTTTGCTTTCCTAATGCCATCCCTGCAGTTCCTTGCTACTTTTCTGTACCTTTCTTCCTTCCACTTCCTATATGTATCTTTCTTTTGTTTTCAGGTCTTCACTGAGCTTTTTGTGAAGCTACACTGGCCTTTTTTACTGTCTCCCGTCTTTTTTTCTTGTTGGAATTCTTTTTTGTTGTGCCTTTTGAATGTTCTTTTTAAAAAAAGGAAGTCCCACCCTTCTTGGACTTCTTTTCTTGTTAGGATCTTCTGCCATGGAATCTTACTTATCCTTCTTCTGAGTTCATTAAAATTGTTTTTTTAAAAATCCAGCACATGTGTGTGACTACACTCTGCTTTGGTTTCCTTTGAAATCAAGAATTCTAGTAGAATATGGTAACCCTTGCTCAGAGTTCCCCTTATTGCCACCTCCTCCACCAAGTCATTTCTATTGGTTAGAATTAAGTCAAGGATAACTAGTCCTCTAGTTTCTTTTCCTGCTTTTTGTTGGAGAAAATTATCATCCACACAAGCCAGGAATTTCTTGTAAGGGCCATACTTGGCAGAATTTGCCTCCCAACAGATATCAAGATACAGTAATTGCAATTTCCCATCACTACTACACTGTGTCCCTTTGGAATCCTTGCCATTTGTTTTTCAAAAGTTTCATCTGCTTCCTCTCCTTGATAGGGTGGTTGGTAGTAAACACGAACTACCATGCTCCTTTTGTTTTTCGCCCCTACTACCTTGATCCAGAGCTCTCAGTAGGACAGCCAATCGCCTCCTCCAGTATTTCTCTGCAGCAATGTGTATTTTTGACATATACTGCAACTCCACCTCCCATTTCTATTCTTTTTGAACAATTTATATCCTTTAATAGCTGTATTTCAGTCATTTACCTGGAGTATTTTCCTTTCCCTTTCTGTTCCTTTTCCAAGTACTGGTAGGATGCATGAGAAAACAATCTGGGCTCCAGAATCCTTAGGTTTCCTTTGCAAAGTCTGATGGGATCTCTTCAAAGTTGCTCTTGGCTGTGTTGTTTGTTCCTGTATCAATGAGGAACATGGATAGTTATCCGTGAGTTTTATGAGCAATAACAATCTGTGCTCCAGGGAGACAGCAAACCTGACGGGTCTATGGATCTTCCCGCCATACTTCCGTTTCCATCCCACACGGTAGGGAGTCTCCTATTCCAACCACTCTTCTCATCACCTTTTTGTAGGGCGTGGGTTCAGTGCCTGTGCTTAGCTGAGTTTCAGTCCCTCTCATGGACTCCTGCAAGGCCTCCTCTTTGACTTGGTCTGCATGCTGTCTCCCAGACTCCTCATCAAAAACCTTTACTTTACTTTATTAGGTTTTTACCCCACCCCACCCCCAGACAAAGTCTACTTGGGACAGCTTACACACATGATAAAAACATCATAATATAACAAATATCTTAAAAATCAATTTAAACATCCTAATTGTAACACTTATTTTAAATCATTACCATGATGAAATAATTTCAAAGAGAAATAATAGAAATCAGTTATTGACTCGAGGGAAGGCCTGCCTAAAAAGCCAAGTTTTTAAATGGCATTTAAAAACACCCAGCTAGGGTGCCAGACGGATTTCTGTTGGGAGGCTGTTCCATAGCCGAGGGGCCACTGCCGAGAAGGCCCAGTTTCTTGTTCTTTCTTTCCTGGCCTCCCTCAGCGTTAGGCCCCTCAGCTGTCCCTGCTGGCTATGCCAGGTGATTCGGGTAGATCTAGGTGGGAGAAGACGATCTGCCAAGTATCAAGGTCCCAAACCGTTTAGGGCTTTGTACGTCATCATTAACACTTTGAAGTCAATGCAGAAACGAATGGGCATGGATGTTGTTAATGTTGAAACCTGAAAGTGGTTTTGCATTTCCAACAGTGAAAAGTCTTCTCCTTCTTTTGCTCCTTAACTGTGACTCTTTTCTATGGTTCTTCCTCTACTGTGTTTGCTCTCACGTCGGCATTGTCCTCCTCTGCCTTCCCTTGTTGCTCTTCCGCCTCCAATGTCTGCAGCTGCTGCTCAAGAGTTCTGTCAGTGTATACTTCATCTTCCCTTATACCCTTGAGTGTGGCTACTCGCTGCTCCAGTTCTCTCACCTTTTCTTCTAACGGTGCCACCAGTTTACACTTGTTGCATGTGTACACCGTGTTACACTCGGGCACAAAGACAAAGATTGGACAAACTTTGTCTCTTCCCTCCATATTTCAGATTACTTCATTTTTATAAGATAAATTAATATACCATTCATTAAAATTCAAGACATTTAAAATATGTTAAAACAAATAAGCACAAACTTAACATTATTTAGATTTTATTGTAGCAAAAGAACTTCTTCTGTTTTATTGTGGAAATGAAAACAGAACAATTGAAAATTATGTTCACATGTAATTATCTTGCATAGACACAAAAGGGATTGATGAACAGGAAAGAAATGAGCAAATATGTTAAAACAAACGAGTACAAATTTAACATTTAGATTTTATACTGTTCTTGCAGAAAAAAACTGAGTCCATTTTGTTTTAGAAATGTAAACAGAACAGCTGGAATTCACATGTAATTTCTTCTGAAAATACAAAAGGAATTGATAAATATGAAAGAAATGAGTAGATATGCATTACCTGTTGTCAGTTTGTTCAGCTATTAAATTTATAGTTTGAATCAGAGTAGTGAAAGTGAACTATATTACTGACAATTTTTGTAAAACTCAGAATTGTTTCTTAGAAGGATAAGAGGTTCTAAAAGTAGAAAATGTCTAGAATAACATTCGTAAGAGTAAATTACAACTATAATACCAAAAACAGAACAAACCTAAATACAAATATTTAGTTTTTTATTGAAAATATCTTGTTTATACTAACTTTCAGAATTATTTATACAATCTGTTTGCATAACTGATCAATGAGAACAGATCAATACAGCTTGAACACAAAAATGAAATCACATAAAGCCATCTCATCAAATATAAAATGATGATAAGTCATACGATGTAGGCATGAGCTAAAGAATTGTAACAATAGCAATATTTTAAGAAAAGTTTTCAGATGCTTTTCAGGTTCTCTGCTGACTTACTCTGGAAAATTACCCCACATTCGTGACATCGAAGAAGGACCTATCCTAGATAGCATCCAACAAATTTCTCTGCTTTAGAATTATAGGAAGTGTGGCCCTAGAAGAGAGATGAATATGTAGTATATAGGGGAAAGCAATGTGACCGTGTCAAATATGTTGTTGTTTGAATGCATCACCCCTCTAGCAGCAGACAGTAAGTGCCAACACAAAAGGAGCCCAAGAAGAGCCAAGGAAAAATAAGGAGGTATAATTGTGCTTGGAAACTCTGAGGCTTGCTGAAATCTTGAAAAGAACAGTCAACGCTATATATACAGTATATATATTTATTTAAAATCTTTTACCCCAGTGTGAGTGGCCCCAGCTGCTGCCACCATAGTGAAACAGCAAGTTCGGGTGGCTACTTTATTGGACTCTGCACACAAAGAAAAAAAGAAATATAGGCCTCTACAGTCCTTTGCAGGATGAGGTCTCATCTCCACCTAGTGAGTTTGGGAATGGTAGTCTTCGGCAAATTCCATCTTTTTAGGGCTGAGGGAACATCCAGTCTCTGCCCCTCACTTCCTTGGGAGTTACAGCACTCCTGAGGGATCCCAGCATCGTAGCTGATAGGAAACGTCCTGGCTAGCAAACAGTCCTCGCCCTTCCAGTCCCCTGCTTAGCATCTCCAGCAGTTAAGATTGAAGCCTGCAGGCAGGGGAGGCCATGCAGTGCCAGCTGTCCTTGGGAGTTCTCCTTCCTTAGTTTCCAACCTGCCTTCCCCTGCACAGATACAGTACTGGCCTTCAGCCAATTCGACAGTTTTCTGAGAAAATAAGCCTCCTAGAAGCTTCTTTCAGTGTTTCCCCTGGCAGACCGCCCTCCTTTTCAGCCAAAGGTGGTGGGAACTCCCAGGCGTCTTCCCAAATGTCGAGTTTCTAAATCTCTCCCTGTTCACTCTCCTTGATTTCTACTTTGGCCAAGGCTACAGCTGTTTCCCTGGGGGAGGGCCCGGGACCGCCACTCTCCCTTGCCTCAGGTATTTTTCTTAATGATAACAGTCCTTCTGCTGTTGAAGAGGGGGCCTGCCCACACTGGCACTTAGCTCCTTCCCACTAACCCGCTGTAGCTGGCTCATGCCCACCTTTCTCCTTAACAGGACCCAAAGTGGCTTACATCTTTAAAAGACAATATAAAACTAACAACAGTTACAAATACAGTACTAAAAAAGATCAAACAAATACCACACAAAAATATAAGCAACACTAAAACACATTCAGATAAGATGCATCAATCCATTAAAAAAACCCACTCAGGGGAAGCTTGCCTTTAGAAACACCTTTAGAAACAGCCCCGAACAAGTCATAGTCAACAGAGTCAGGAGCCATAGAATATAAAAATTTTCAAAGACATAGCGCCATCAATCAGTTTCACATATACGACAAAAAGAAAAGACTTGCCATGCTTTTAAGATTAACAGATTTATTTCAGCGTGAACATTCGGGCTCAAATCTTATTAGCCCTGCACATCCTAAGAAGGCAATCATGCAAGTGAACCTACCTATATTGGCAGTTAGCCCTTATGCTCCTTGGCTTCTCCAGGCCAGGCAATAAATTGTGCACCCGGTTACATACTTGGCCTGCATGACAGACAACTCTATACATATTCATGGTGAATGAGTTAAATGGCTTACAAAAGCTGACAATTATTACCACTGGTAATGAACTTTCAAAATGTTTGTTTGTTTGATTGATTGATTTCTACCCCGTCCCTCTAGACAGAGTCTACTCGGGCAGCTTACAAACAATTATAAAACATCATAAAATAATCATCATAAAACAATCACATAATTAAATCAACAAATTTAGAAGTTCAAGATGGAGAAAAAGGAAAACAAGAGAAGAAAAAAAGTGTTGACTGGAGGGAAGGCCTGCCTAAACAGCCAAGTGTTTAAAGCTTAAAAACACCCAGCGAGGGTGCCAGGGCGATTTCCGATGGCAATGTGTTCCATAGTCAACGGGCCACTGCCGAGAAGGCCCAGTTTCTTGTTCTTTCTTTCTGGGCCTCTCTCAGCATTAGGCCCCTCAGCCATCTTTCATGGCTAGGTTTCAGTGGGCAATTTTCACAATGGAGAGAGGTGAAAAGTGTGACCCAGGAATCTGTCCTGGGACCAGTGCTTTTCAACTTGTTCATAAATGATCTGGAGACAGGGATAAGCAGTAAGGTGGCCAGGTTTGCAAATGACATGAAACTTTTCTGGGTGATGAAGACCAGAAGGGATTGTGAAGAGCTCCAGAAAGATCTCTTCAAACTGGGAGAATGGGTGGCAAAATAGCGAATGTGTTTCAAAATTATAAAGTAATATAAGAAAACTGTGTGTGTGGTGGCAGTGAAGAAGGCCAGTTCCATGCTAGGTATCATTAAAAAGGGGATTGAAAATAAAACAGCCAACATTGTAATGCCATTGTACAAAATGATGGTAAGGCCACAAATGGACTATTGTGTACAGTTCTGCTCGCTGCACCTCAAAAAAGACATTGTGAAACTAGAAAAGGTGCAGAAGAGAGCGACTCAGATGATGACTGGACTTGGGCATCTCCCTTATGAGGAAAGGCTACAGCGGTTGGGGCTCTTTAGTCTAGAGAAAAGGCGCCTGGGGGGGACATGATTGAGACATATAAAATGATGTAGGGAATGGATCAAGTGGATAGAGGGAAGCTCTTTTCCCTCTCACGCAATACGAGGGGACATAAACTCTGAGTGTTGGGAGACTGAAAATAGACAAAAGAAAACATTTCTTTACGCAGTGTATTGTTAGTCTGTGGAGCTCCTTTGGCACAGGATGTGGTGATGGCATCTGGCCTAGGTGCCTTTAAAAAAGATTGGACAGATTCCTGGAGGAAAAGCCCGTTGCAGGTGACAAGCCATGATGGGGATGTATAATCTCCAAGCTTAAAAGGAAGGTACCTCGAGGGGTATCAGGAGAGAGGTATCTAGTTGTCTCTTATGCTCCCAGAGGCATCTGGTGGGGCCACTCTGAGATACGGAAAGCTGCTCTAGATGAGTCCCTGGCCTGATCCAACAGGGCTCTTCTTGTTTTCTTATGGACGGAGTTTTGACTTCAGCACTGCAATTTAACCACTGTGCCACAAGACTTCATAATTTCTGCTACAACAGACTACAGGGTGAACCCCCAGCCCCATACCTGGATGTGCAAACTTTAAGCACGTTAAGGTTTGAGGTGTTGGAAAAGTATGCTGAAGAATCCTATTGGATTATTCACTTCTCCATACTGGTATGTAGGGCAGCACCATTTCATAATTTCAGTGAAATAGAAGTTGTGCAATCATTTGTTGTTGTTGTTGTTGTATCAGTGAAATAGAAGTTGTGCAATCATTTATTGTTGTTGTTGTTGTATTATAAATGCATAAGTAGGAGATACCTTTATAGACCACTAAAGAAATACAGTCTGCAAGCTTTCATGGGTCAGAGATGTCCACTTCCTCAGGCACACACCACTGTCTTAAAACTCCAAAAGTTCTTGGCAGTGGGATTTTGCCAGGCTTTTCCCTTAGAATTTCCGGAGAGGCTGCAGCCTGCAAACAGAGTTGGGCTTTAAAGTTACAGCTGAGGAACCTGATGCCCGGAGAGCAGAGCCCAGTTCTCCAAACACGGAAGCGCACGCACGTGTATCCACAGTCTCGCCCAGTGGGCTACTTCAGGCCAGTCACATTGCCTGTTAGCCCAGCCTACCTGGCAGGGACGGTGTGAGGGTAAAAGGGGCTCCCTGTGATGAGCCCTCTGCATCTGCCTCCAGCTGTCTGGAGAATGAAGGGCTGAGAGAAAAAACTTATCATTTCGAATCATAACAAATGACACCATTTAAAATCCCCTCCTTTTGTTTGGGCGGAATGGGCGGGAGCGGCGATTCCCGGAGGGCAAGCGCGGAAATACCCTCGCGTAAAGCGGGAGATGAAAAGCCCCATCTGAGCAAAGCGCTGGTCGACTTCCAGGCCGGACGACGCTAAGAGAAGTGAAAAGAAAGCCTGATGCTGTGCAACTTCACATACCATTGGAACATGGGTTGTGAAAAGTACGAATCAAGGTAAATGGAAAACCATAAAGCAAGAAATGGAATGTGTAAACATTTCTAGTGCCTGGTGTCAGTGAAACTAAAGAACTAGAATGGGGTATTTTTAGTCAGACAACTACGTGTTATACTCTGGAAGTTTATTTATTTATTTATTTCTGACATTTATACTGGCCTTTTATTGATTAGCACTATCCTGGGTTGTGTATATATAAAACAATAAAATGGCACAATCAATCAAAATTATAACCAGGCAGCAACTAGCAAAGATAAGTCGGCATTAGGCTTGCTGGCACAGCATGAGCAAAGGTATTGGGCATGTAAATTCAAAGGCTTCACTGAAGAGATGAATCTTCAGAAGCCTCTTAAAATTTGCCTCTGGGGCGAGGCTCTCGGGTGCCCTTCGGGAAGGCTTCTTGGATGGCCTCGAGGGAAAGGCCGTTTGCAGCTTCCCCCGGGACGGCCGGGTGCGGCGGGAGAGCAGCTTCCCCCAGAGAGGCCCGGAGAAGGAAGCGGAGGGCCCGGCTGTGCCAGCTCCCCTCCTGAGCCAGCGAGGCTGAGCAACCCTCCCGCCCGTGTCCGCCTCCTTCCGGGCCCCTTCCTTGCCCACCGCCTGAGAGAGAGCCATGGCGGCATGGGCGCCCTGTGGCCCCAGCTGCAGCCTGCCTCAGCCTCCCCGCTACTGTTACCTGGACCTTGCCTTTTCCTTCATGGGCACCGTCGCCTTCCTGGCAGACCTGGGCATCGATGTCTGGGTGGCTGCCAGCTATTTGAAGGCCAGTGACTACTACTGGGGTGGACTGGTTTTGGGGCTGTTGGTCCTGTCATCGCTGACAACCCAGTTCTTCAGCTGGGCCTGGTACCAGAGTGATCCCCCAGATCTAAGGCAAGAGCTGCCGACGGGTTGGACTCTTATCACATTGCATGTCCTGCAGCTTGGCTACCTCTACAGGTAAGGGCATCATTAAATAATCTGTCCATTGCTCATACCTGGTAGTGGTGGGAAAACATAATTTTCCTGATGATGTTGGACTGTGGTTCCCATCAGCCACTGCCATCTTAGCCAATGGTGAGGGATGATGGGAGTTGAAGTCAAGTAATATCCAGAGAGTCGTATGTCCTCTATCATCAACTCAGATCTACTCTGCAGCAAAGCTTCAAACAGTTACATGTTGTTCTGGACACCTGCAGCCAGCATGGCCAGCTCAGCCTTTTCCCATAAAACTGACTATGAGCTTCCAAACGGATTGGAAGTGCAAGTGGGACGGACAGGATTGCAGCTGGAGACTGATAAACAAATAGTCAAGGAATACCTTACCACCTTGAACGAGTTCAGATTTCCAGGGCTGGATGAACTGCATCCAAGAGTACTGAAGGAATTGGCTGAAGAACTCTCAGAACTGCTGTCCATTATTTTCTCGAAATCATGGGAAATGGGTGAGGTGCCAGAGGATTGGAGGAGGGCTAATGAGGTCCCTATCTTTAAAAAGGGCAAAAAAGAGGAACCTGGGAACTACAGGCCAGTCAGCCTGACATCAATCCCAGGCAAAATTCTAGAACAGATCGCTAAGCCATCATTGTGCAAGCACCTAGAAGACAATGCAGTAATAACTAGAAGTCAAAAACAGAACAAATCCTGCCAAACTAATTTGATCTCATTTTTTGATCAGGTAACCTCCCTGATCAAGAAAGAGGGAATGCTGTAGACATAGTACCGTGGTGCCTTGACTTACAAACGTAATCCGTATTGGAATGGCATTTGTAAATCAAAATGTTTGTAAGTCAAAGCACCATTTCCCATAGGAATGCATTGGAAACCCATTAATCTGTTCCCCAAATAAAAATAAAAATCTGCAAGCCCCTGAGGCTGCAAAACAAAACACAAACATAACCCCACCAGCCCAATCCCACCCTGCAAAAGCCACCCAAAACAGTAAAAAGCAGTACACTTACCTCCCCACAAAGCCTCCTCTCAAGCCTCCCAGCCATGGTCAGCTGTCCCGGCCGGGAGTGCAGCCAGGAAACAGAGCTTAGCTGGGATGGGTCCTCACCTCCCGGCCAGACCCCTGCTGCCGCCACATCCCTTCTCTAACTGTTGGGAGAAAGAGCTACAAAGAAGCAGCCTCTTTACCACCAACGGTTAGTTTTTTAAAAATTTCCCACCCCTTTTCCCTGCCTTTTTTTGTTCGTAGGTCAAAGCTCCGACCGCAAGTCAAAGCAAAATTTTGCGGCTGGAGCAGTTCGTAATTTGTTTGCAGGTCAGGGCGTTCGTAAGTCAAGGCACCACTGTACAGTATATCTTGATTTCGGCAAAGCTTTTGACCAAGTGCCCCATGATATTCTGATTAGCAAGCTAACTAGTGTGAGCTGGATAGATCAAGTGTCAGGTGGATACATGATGGGCTACAGAATCATACTCAGAGGGTGATGATTAATGGGTCATTCTCTAACTGGGAGGAGGTAACTAGTGGGCTGCGGTGGATACATGATGGGCTACAGAATCATACTCAGAGGGTGATGATTAATGGGTCATTCTCTAACTGGGAGGAGGTAATTAGTGGGCTGCCCCAAGGCTCAGTCCTGGGCCCAGTGCTCTTCAATATTTTTATTAATATAAATAAAAAGTTAATTATTTGGATGAGGGAGTGCAGGGGATGCTTGTCAAATTTGCAGATGATACCAAATTGGGTGGAATAGCTAATGCCCGAGAACAGTGGTCCCCAATCTTAGGCATTCAGATGTCCTTGGATTTCAACTCCCAGAAATCGTGGCCAGCAGATGAGGTGATGAAGGCTTCTGGGAGTTGTAGTTCAAGAACATCTGGAAGCCCAAGGATGGGGACCACTGCTCTAGAAGACAGAAACAAAATTCAAAATGACCTTGATAGGATGGAGCACTGGGCTGAAAGCAACATAATGAAATCCAACAGGAATAAGTGCAAAGTACTGCACCTCGGAAAAAAAAAACAAATTGCAGAGTTACAAGATGGGGGATACCTGGCCCAGCAAAATTACAAGCGAGAAGGATCTTGGAATTGTCATAGATCATAAGCTGAATATGAGGCAACAGTGTGATGTGGCTACAAAAAAGGCAAATGCTCTTTTAGGCTGCATTAATAGAAGTGTAGTTTCCAGATCCTGCAAGGTGCTAGTCCCCCTCTATTCAGCACTGGTTAGGCCTCACCCAGAATCTTGTGTCCAGTACTCTACCACTAGGTGATCCCTCTACCACTAGGTGATCCCTAGTGGTAGAGTACGGATTAACCAGCTTTGCATTAGTTCCTATGGGAACTAATGCCTCTACCTACGAACGGCGCCTTGACATACGAATGGAAAACAGCAGATACAGATTAAATGGTTTTCAGTTCATTCTTATGGAAAAGTTTGCCTCGATTTCAAATTTTCGACGTACGAACTTAATTCCAATGTAGATTAAGTTCGTAAATTGAGGCACCACTGTAATTTGAAAAGGGAGAAACTCTGTCTCTCTGTTCAATCTACTGACACAGTCTCTTGTTTGGGTAGTACACAGGTGAGCAGAGTGTGGTCCAGGGTCTACAGTTGTCCTCTAACATTGTTTTTACAGCCTTTTCAACAATCCTGGATCACTTGAGATGCCAGCAGCAGCAGTTGTTTTTGAATTTTGTGTGTGTGTGTGTGAGAGAGAGAGAGAGAGAGAGTGAGTGAGAGAGAGAGAGAGAGAGAGAAAGAGAGAGAGAGAATCACAGTGTCTCCCAGGGTACCCCACAAAGAAACAGGACTGAAAAAGACCATTTGATCCCTTGTCCATTTTATTCACCGCTATCAACCCACCTAATTGTTGTCATATACAGTAGAGGTTTGTTGCATTCATCGAGGACTTTCAGAGGCTGCCAGTCCAGTTAATTTGTCTGCCCCAGTAGAGGTTTGTTGCATTCATCGAGGAGTTTCAGAGCCTGCCAGTCCAGTCTGCCCTTAAGGTAAAACAAATTGCTTAAACAGTGTTGTGTTTGTTGTCTTGCACAGATGTCTTCATGCCCTGAAGGTGGGTTTCCACGTGTGTCGCAAGGAAGTGGCGACAGAGACGCAACGGGCCTACGCTGTTTTCCTCTCCCACGACATCAGTTTGTTGCGTCTTTTTGAGACCTTTCTGGAAAGTGCCCCTCAACTCACATTGGTGCTGTATATCATCCTAAACACAAGTAAAGCAGAAATATTCCAAAGTGAGTGTCTGGCATGAAGGGAAGGAAGCCAGTTCTTTTAGATCTGTGGATTTCCTTGCAGGGCTATGTGGTACTGCTTACATATTTCATAGGTGCTCTGACTGTTCCCACCTTCAGGTTGCAGGTGCTTATGTACCATCTAGCTTGGGGAGCTCTAAAAATTTGCAGAAGTACAAAAATCCCCACACCCTTTAAATGGATAAAGTGCAGTGTTTATGGTTGGGGGAAGTGGGAGTCATCCCCTGAACTTCCCAGGGGATGGTGAAGAGAATCCTTTTTTTCTTCCTACTTCTTATTTTTGAAGATTTAATATAAAAAGACAAAATTAAATTGAACTAATGAAGGAAAAACAAAAAACAACAAAAACAAAGCAAAAAAGTAAATATCTTTGTACTCAGTATAAACCATCATTATAAATTTACAGTACAGTTTTGCTATGTACATCTTTTATTATACATATAAATCAACATAGGCCTTCCAGATGTCCAGGAAAATGGCCTCGTGAAATTGGTTTCTATATGAGACTTGTTCAAATGAAGCTAGTGCTAACTGATCCTCCAACCATTGTGTAGTGAATGGTGGATACTCCTTCCAGGCTTGGAGAGATAAGTCCCGTAAACATGATTGAAGGGGATGTAGGATTTCAGCCTTATAAGATATACCCAATGCATCACCTGTCTAGTTTCAAATTTATTTTAAAGCTAGAATCTCATTGTTGGTATTTTTTTTAAAAAAGTCACATGAAGCTAAGATTCATAGGATGCTGAATTATGAATGTAACACTGTCAGCATTTGTGCTTGTATACAATGAAGTTTATTATTTTCTTAGGCCATTCTGTGTGCTCACTGCCTTCTCTCTTCCTCTCATTGCAGTACTTGGAATTTGCACCTCTTTCCTATGCATTGCCTGGGGGCTCTTGGATTATCACCAGTCCCTGCGTAGTTTCCTAAGGGACAAGGACAAGCTAGGTTTCCTGTCCTCCGTGCTCTACTTCCTGTGGAACTTCCTGTTGGTGTGCCCCCGCATCCTCTCCCTGGCCCTCTTCACAGTAGTCTTCCCAAGATTCATTGCTTTCCACTTCCTAGCTGTTTGGTCAGTCATGTTTCTTTGGGTCACATGGCAAAGCACTCACTTCATGGAACGTGACACTTTTGAATGGACTTACCGGGCCATGGTTGCTGTCATCCTCTACTTCTGCTGGTTTAATGTGGCTGAGGGGAAGACACGGCACCGATCTGTCATTTACCACACATTCATTTTGTTGGACAATCTCATTCTTGCTGTCTGGTGGATCTGGGACAACACTCCACTGAGCATGGACTCACATCTGGTGCATCTTCTTCTTGGCTCCCTGTTCTTCTACATGCTGGGCATCCTGTTGAGAGCCATTTATTACAGATATTTCCACCCTACTGTGCAAGCTGCTTCCTCAGGCAGCTATGATGAAGTGGACAGCCAAGAAATAAGGAATGAAAGGCCTACCGCTTTCCGGGAACTGGTGATAGTGGGACAAATCAACCCTCGGACATATAGGCTGTCTCAAAACTTCTTTGCTGTCAGTTTACGGAGGAGGCAGCCTCAAAAAAATGGGACTCTTGGAGATATAAATCTATGAGCCTTTGGATATCCCATGTGGACCAGCCTTCTGGTACTAGCCAACACATAGAAGAAATCCTCTGCTGCTCAGTCACATCATCTGTATGCTAAATCTGCCTTGGGAGTTAGTGGTGTAAAATCAAGCAGATAAAGCCATAGTGAGATCTGGGGTAGTCTAGGTACTGATTCCCAACCTTGGGCCCCCATTTCTTAGACTAAAACTCCCCAAAGCCTTCAGCACTATAGCTGTGCTGGCCAAGATTTCTGGGAGTTGTTGTCCTAGAACACCTGGGACCTAAGGATGGGAACCACTGGTCTAGGTGATCCTGTTACATTGAACTACAACTCCTATAAGTCCCAGCCAGCACAAAACAAGGCTCAGGAACTTTGAGAATCCTGTGATTTTGCACAACATCTGAACTAGGCCACTGAGCTTCTTCAGCCTTTAGCTGCTGCCAGCCATGCGTGGCCAGACTTCATGAATGCCAGGAAATGGTTCTATGAACAGAGCAGACCTTTTACTAAACTGTTTTCTGAACTGCAGTTCTGGGGTCCTTAGAAGGAATTTTTCAAGCTCAGTAACCGAGTTCCTTATGCCACAATTTCAAGGTTCAATCCTATCTGGATTTGTTTGTTTTTTCGTGTATCTAATTCTAAACTATGTTTGCCAGCTGTTCACATTGTCAGACTGATGTGGGATGTTGCATGGCAAGATTTGTCACTTTCATTTTTTAAATGGAAGCCAGCTGTGGGGCACTATAGGTTGCAGTGCAGGGGAACAGCAAACAGTAGGAGGAGGTGGAAGAGAGAAAGCATTTTGGTGGGGGCTGATCCTATTCTGCAACTTCTCCTGGAAGGACCGAAGTGCTTGCAGGTAGGTTTGCATATGCATCATAAACCCCAATCAAGATTCATATCCTAAGTAATGGCTGGCTGGCAACTCGAAATCGTGCAATCTTCTCCTCACTGGGAGCAGAATCAGTGGGTAAAAAAATCCCTTAAAAGAGGAAATTGAGAGATTCTCTATCACGTGGAGAGAGGGAAGGATCCCAATCCTTTTCGTTCTAGCAGCTTTTCATCTCCTTATCATGCTCAGTTGCTTTTTTACTTACTGGGGGAAATATATAACATACATGATTTGCAACTGAATTAAATAGAAATTGCCTTCTCCCTGTTCTCCATTATCTTCATTGAATTCTCAGTCTCCCACAGCTACTTTATATATATATTTTAAATGGGTACATATTTGCTACATGACATGAAGTCTGGTCTTCAGTCTGACTTCAGCATAGAATGTTAATTTATTGTCATTTATTGGTTTGCATAACCAATTCCTTTTGAGTGTGTTTTTTTTTTTAAATCAAACTTTATACACAAGAGTTGGAAATTGGGCCCAGAGTAATCAATGGTACTTAAATTAGTCATAGCTTAGTTGGTTTCACAGTGTCTAGTTTGATTGCGAGTAAAGCTGGTTCCAACCTGGCCCCTGGTTTCATATTAGCCATACCCACTTTCCATCAGCTTGACACCCTGGAGATGTTTTGGACTATAATTCTCATCAATCCTAGATTGCATGGCCACTGGCCTAGGAAATGGGGTTGTTCAAACAAACAACACTGCCCCCCCTCGAAAAATACAAGGACATTCAAAATGGGGAGATGTAGATGTACTGAGGAATACAAGGACATTCAAAATGGGGAGATGTAGATGTACTGACATTACTGAGCAGAGGGAGCAATCATGCAGCTCACAATGAATAAAATATAAGCAATGGTTGTGAAAACGAGGCAGTCCTGTTGAAAGTACTGTACTAAAACCTTGGTAAAGGAGGAAGGATTCTGGACAGGATTTCCAGATGGATTTGTTAATAAGAGAAATCCCACGATGGGACACCATTTGACACCTGCATTGAAACCATCTCCCCCCGCCTTCCTAAGCTCGATCTTTGCAGGTAAAACTGCCAGTTTTATCTACCCTGCCCTGTATACCTTAGGACCCATGATGTTAGGCGTAGAAAAGCAGGCACATAGTAGTGATGGGAGTTTTGTTCTCTGCTCACAGTTGTTACTTTCCTGTTTATTATTATATCAATTGTATTTGATAATGAAATGAGTAAAAGAAAGCTGATGTTTGAGGGCATAAGTGTTATTTAGGTTACTTCTTTGTACATGGATTACTTGAGCTACAGTATGAATATACATGTCGATTCTTTGCTGTATGTGGAGGGAAAACAGCAGCAACTGGTAAAACTCAATGAAATTGGATGCTATTAGGATTTCCAACATGACTTTCTCCAATTGTGCTTTGTTGGTGATCCCTAGAAAATGTTTTACTTTCTTCAGTTACACCTTAATATTTCTTGGTTTGCTCTAATTGTGCCTTGGCTTTTATGTCCCATTTATTTAGGGATTTAGAATCTAGTCTGTAAATCATTTTCTACAGGGATTAATTATCCAGTAGCTTTCTAGTACTGTCAATTTAATCACATACAAGTCATAATGATTTGTAATAAACATGTACAGCATCTTTTCACATGTAATAGAGCCTACTAGTGTCTTCTTAGCACTTTCTTGAGCTATTGACTTAATATGAAGTGGCCTTCTGCATCGTACAGCTAGAGTGCCTTTAAAAGTAAATGAAATGTTTTTAAAAGTCACATTTCCTATAAGACCACCTATCATCACAAAGGAAATATGGCCCTTCATCCATGTCAGCAACCTCTGCTACCTTAATACCAACAATTATAAATTGCTATGCTGTTTTAACTGTATTGTTTTAATGACTGAATACCAGTGATCTTTTTTGCTGAAAACAATTGCCAGGTCTTGCTATTTTTACGCAACACTGGCTACCTTATGTAATGCTTTTAATTTTTTTTAAAAAAAATTCATTTAAATTACATTTTTAAAAATGGAGTAGGGCTTATATTACGAGCATACTTAAGAATCATACTAGGTCTTATTTTCAGGGAAACGGTAGCTTTTTGTGACATTTGTTCTTCAAGTGGTCCCTATGCATCCACGCAAATGGCATCTAGAGAACCAGACCTTCAGAATCTTTGAGATGGACAGAGTTGGATAAAATTTTGGCAGTAGCTCTGCCTCATTCCATCTAGGCCGCCTATACATTTTCTATACATTTGGACCATACCATGGCAAAAATTGATGTTCTCCAGTGAACCATTTGGAGATCTTAAAAGATCGAGTCATTTCTGATGTCACTTTCACCTTCTCCAGTCAAATTCTGTTGATCCCACATTTCAACAGAACCCTCGTCATAACGGTTCCCTAGAGTCTATCTTGTTTAATGTTTTTTTCTGGTTGCTTTGTTCCTTACATACAGCAGATAGTGGTATCAGGAGATACCCACCTACCATGGTTGTTTTCTTTCTGCTGACACAGCTCGCTAACAGCAGTTGTGGTTCTGGACACACCAGAAAGGGGTGACTGAGAAAAATAAGAAACTGAATGTAAGTAGAGAAGGGGCTTGCTGTTCTCAGAAGCATCACTTCTGAGAAAATGACATTTCTCAAGCATGTTTTGAAAACCATTATTTTCTTTCTTGGGGGCAATCAGCAGCTGGTAAGTGAACTCAGTTCTAATTTCTTATTCAGTAATGGGAAAGTGAAGGATTTGACCTGATGTTGCCTTTGTCTCTTGAGGAAACAAATTAACAACCAGCGAATGATGCTATCACGCCTCATCACCTTGGCATCGAGCTGTCTGGTATCCTTATCATGGCAGGCAAATGAGCCAGGGATTTCCACCTCCTCTGCTACTCTGAGGCATTCAAATACAGCAAATGCATATTGCATGTCCAACCACATTTATAATGATTTATTACTACTTTTTTACTACAACCAAAGGCAAAGAGGTTCTTGGGGGGGTTTCCCCTCTAGAGGTCAACATATCTTGATTGGCTAGGGTACTACTTACATTGACTGCATTGAGTAATGTTTGCTGCTTTATCTCACACAGCAAAACACTTTGCATGGCTCCAGTCATGGGACATCATTCAATGCCTCAATGATAGTTGCACAGCTCTTGGACACTTTTTGGAATAACATAAAATGGCAGCCTGTGTCTACAATGTTGGGGGAACTGGCAATCTGATGCTGTTGGACTACAACTCCTGATGACTTAGCTATCCATACTGGCTGAAAGGACTTGGGAATTCAATATCTGGATAATCAGAAATCTCTAAGGTTTCTTGCTGAACCAAGAAAAAAAGGGGTTTTATAAAAAATCAGTATAGTGTTTAGGAATTTATTTATTTTATTTTTTTATTTATTTATTTTATTTCTATCCCGCCTATCTGATCGTATTCGACCACTCTAGGCGGCTTACAGTAAAAACAATATTATAGTTTTTACAACATTATAGGTAGGACATAGTAAAGATAGAGAACAAATTAGAAGAAAGAATCGTCAAGGGTTTTCTGTTGGGAAGGCCTGCCTGTACATCAGTGTTTTTAGTTGTTTCTTAAAAATACCCAGCGAGGGAGCCGCGCGAATCTCAGGGGGTAAGTTGTTCCAAAGGCGAGGAGCCACCGCCGAGAAGGCCCGGTTTCTGGTCTTTTCCTTTGGCCTCTCTCGGCGTTAGGCTCCTCAGCCTCACCTCCTGGCTCGCGCGAGTGACACGGGTAGATCTTGGTGGGAGAAGGCATTCCGCCAAGTATCGAGGTCCTAAACCGTTTAGGGCTTTATAGGTAAGCATTAACACTTTGAAATTGATGCGGAATGAGATGGGCAGCCAACCCAATGAGTGGGTGAGATATGTTGGTATCTTCTCAGTCCACTGAGTAGTCTGGCCGCCACATTCTGCACCACCTGTAGTTTCCGCAGCAATCTCAAAGGTAACCCCACGTAGAGCGCATTACAGTGGTCTAATCTTGAGACTACAAGGACATGCACCAGAGTGGTGAGAGACCCCACATCAAGGTAGGGCCGCAGCTGGTCTATCCGCCTAAGATGGAAAAAAGCAGAACAGACCACGGACGCCACCTGGGTCTCCATGGTGAGCGCCGGGTCCCAAGCTGCGGACCCCATCCCTGGCGGGCAGAGTCACCCCCCAAAAAATGAGGGAGTTTCCCATATCCCCAGATGTGGGGGCGCCCACCCTCAGTACCTCCGTCTTGTCCGGGTTCAGCCTCAGCCCGTTCTCCTGCATCCATTCC